GCTTCCAGCTTGTGCCTTTGTACAAAAACACCTGCTTTAGTGACCGCTTACACCCGCACCCAGGAGAACCAAATGTCCTACCTAAATGATGCTCCTAAACCTTCAGCAATGTGCACGACTGAACACATGGAATTTCATAAAGGTGCACATACAAAGTCCCTCAGAGTGAATGTTGGCAACAGTCTGTTAGCTCAATTCTTGCAATGGCCTTTGCATCGTCGTGTGTTTCTGTCTTCGCACAGAGAATCACTGGAGGCCTTTACTGAACTTTTTGCGTGGTAGTAGCCTATTGACTAGGCTATAGCACCCCAGCTCATTTTTTTTTCTCTCTTTCGTGCGTCTATTTCGCTCTTCGCTTTCTTTCCAATCTTTATTCCCCATTATCCCTTCCATTAGTGCAGGGTAGCAAACCAGATACTCCGATTTCTGGTTAACCTCCCTGCCTTTCCCTCATTTTATTCTCTCTCTGCATCGTCGTGCAATCAGCAACATTCCTTAAGTACAAATAAGCTACAGGAACTTGCATTGAGTGACTTCTGATGGTTTGTACTGGAACTATTTAATGAACGCAACCCCCCCCCCCCCCTTTTTTTAACAAGTGACAACACCTTAAGGAGGCTGTAGAATTCTGAATTTTGCAAGTTTCCTTGCAGGCAAAGAAAAACTGTTTGGAATGATAATAAAAAAAGCCACTTGGTCAATGTAGCTTAATAATAATGGATGCTTGCATGTGAATCAAACCAATGCCCATGTTGCATTTTGCACCATGAGCAAATTCTTTAAAGTAGCCACCAGTTTCACGAGTGAGCAAGAGTGGCCATTTCACGATTCTATGATATCATCGTGAGCATATGAAGAAAATCAAATCATATTTTTTGATGCCTATCAGAAAGCAATGCATGTAGACATTTACCACAACTAAGTCTGCTCACCCGTAATCTCACAAATACAAAACCAATGCTATATTTAAGCAAATTACTTGTGCACGAACTTCAGGAAGACTCCAAAATGCATGGTAATTGCTGTATGGGCCTATAGTTATTGAATCACTTGGCAATGTCAGGCACAAACTCAGCGCGCTTGGTACGAATGCCAGCACGTAAACTTCGGTCTGTCTTGAAAATGAAAGACTGTTTTACAATGACAAACAGTAATAATAAAGATTCCTCGAGTGTTAGGTGCCAAAACCAAGACATGACTGTGAGGCCTGTCACAAGAGCGAACTCTGCAACTTTGACTACCTGGAGTTCTTTGACAAGCCGCTAAATCTAAGCACATCGATGTTTTTTGCGTTCCACCCCTATTGAAATGCAGCGACTATAGCCAAGAATTGAACCTGCGCCCGCGATCTCGGCAGTGCGACACCTCGCGTGACGAACTACCACGGCGATTAGTGACTATTGCCAGCTATTATTGCAAAGCGAAATGAGTTATATTGTAAGAAAGAAGACTCGATCAACCTCGTTATAACATCAAAAGGAAATTACCCAAAAGCTTTGCCACTGGATACACTGAGTCAATGGGCCATGGTATTGACTGAAGCGATGTGGGTACCACTGTCCCTGAGAGTGATCGGAAGTCACACGTTCATCTGGAATCGCTGAACACCCCCCCCCCCAAAAAAAAAAAAACAAGTGGACAGTGGAATTCAATGGTTGCATATACCTTCCAATGTTACTTGTACTGCAATAACAATGGCTGGGTAAGGTCCCAAAATTACTTGTCCTGCACTGTTCAATTTACACGCCTCTACTCTCTTGCCGTCACTTCTACATTCTGTCTTGGAATGAAAAAAGTAACTCCGACCGTTTTTATGTTGTCAATGTTTGTGTTTTTAAACCGTGGTATGGCTGAAATACAAGTGCAATTAGATTAATAATGTTACAGTGACATCAACATATAGAATTGTCTGCTAGATTCAAGTGATATGTCGAATACAACAAGGAAAAATAGTAAAAACCTTAAATCAATATAGGGCTGTGAATGAGCTTCTTTGTATAAGCTTCGAATATTGTCTTCAGGAATATGTCAAGGTCGTTTCTTCAGTATTTTCTTAGCAGAGTACCAGGATTACAAGGATGGAAAAGATACTTTCAATAACATGATATAACGCAATAAAACCGATGTCCTTGCTACTAAAGCAATAGACTAACGAATTGTATGTGCTAGACAAAATGAAAACCTTTTTAAAAATTTAACATGCACAGCATATTTTGACAATGTAAATTGTTGTTGTTAAGAATTTAAACATTGTTCATTTCAAACCAAAATGAACAACTTTTGGCTACAATTCCCAACATCTTAGCCGGTTAAAGTTACAACTTTAAACTGGTGCACAAGCTGAGAAAATGTCGGTGTCTAGGGAATGCCATCATGCCCATGAAAATTATTTCTTTTTTCTCATTCCACGTGGATGAAATAAATACAACATGCCTCACAAAGACATGTCCCAGTGCTAGATAACAAGGTTCAAGCCAAAAAACTGTGTGTTCCATAGTGCAAAAACAATACACACATTCTGCAAACCTCGAAGCAGGGGGGAACATTTGCAAGATAGCGACAGATGAATGGGCTGTCTGAATCTGTGTCTGGCTCATAAATAGACACATAAAGAAATCAGCAGCTAAATAGAGCATGCAGCTGTGCGAATCGCATGCCGCAGGTGTGGGAACTGAAGTAATGTCTTAAATGGCACAGCTGCCACTACAGCGATCAGATTTGAAAAAGAAGACTAGAAAAAAAAAAACGAAATGCGGTGAACACAAGAGTGGTAATACTAGAAAAACTGAAAAGTATGTTACCAACTCAAATATCATTTTCTGCTTTGTTAACTCATTTCACCAACAGTTAGTAACGGGCAGCTGCAATGTTGATTACATTTAGAATGCTCTTAATTTTCAAAATTTCAGGAATATGAACACTGACACAAACAAGCCATGCTTTGCTCATAGCACCTCACGTTACTGGTTTACAATTAATCAAGGTTTCAAGAATTACTGCATGCAAATGGAAAAAAATACATAAATCTGGGTGTCCATCAAATGCATTATTAAACACTAAGAGATAAGTTGATCGCACTATGGACAAAGCCAAAGGCTCCAAACAGGCATGAAATTCTGTAAAGCTTCACGACTAATGTCCTGGCATGAAGCAAAAAATATTTGCACGGCTAAAAGATGAAGTTTTACTTGTCGAACAGTCACTGGACAGCTGATATTAGATGCACAGAACTTTTAGTCTCTATTGAACTTGCTCCACAGGGAGATAAGAAAAAAAAAAACGAGATGCAAATGCTGATCTCTGGCTCATTATTAATGCCCACTCGATTTGCACAATGCCCAAGGTTCAGGAAAGTGCGCTATTACGCGACGTAATCCTTTTTTTTTTATTCTTCGGGCCAGCAGCTGTATTCGCCCGTCCAAATCAACCACAGATGTCGCAACGTGCGCAGAGAATGATTAGGCTGCCAGATGCAACGTCATTTCCCTCTCCACTCTTCTCTTTCCACGTGTGCGGCATTTTGCCGCTTTTCTTACTTTATACCCCGAAACCGGCTGAACCGCCGGCGCGAGCAGGTATCAACCCGTCGTCCAGTTGCTTTCTTCGCGAACAACCATCGGGTCGGCTTGCATGGAAAGGGCGCATGAACCCGAATCGAAGAATAGTATACAAAAAGAAGAAAAAGGGGGGAACGCCGCCGACCCATCGGCTCATTACAGCAACGGGGCATTCGGCAAAACAGCAGCAGACTGGGAGGTGGGGGGTCGACGAGGAGACACCTTGAGAAGCCCAGCACCCCCCCTCCCCCCGAGAAAGAGAAAAACGGACCAAGGGGGGAGACACTGCACACGGCGGCAAATTCCAAAAGGCGGAGGCACCCCCTTCGAGGTTTTTGCCCTATTTGTTGCTGCCGCGAAGGTGGTGGCGGAGGGAAGGGAGGGGGCGCTCCTTTGCCACGCTTGTTTGCACCACAGGTCGATCAAGTGGGGAAGAGGCCCCCCCCCGCAATACCACCGCTCTGCTGCTCCGTGTGCCGGACAGCGAACGCGGCTGTGGTGGCGACCATTTTGACGCACGTTGTTTTTAATAAGGTCACGTACGGCGGCGGAAAATCTCCGAAGCGGGCGGCCGCGCGAGTCGCACCGTGCGCGTTGACGGTGACGTCTGCGCGCGCGCGCAGTTCGCCCTGCGATTACCGGGGCTAGCCACAATAGCAAGCAAGGGGAGAAAAAAAGCTGCTTCCGAGCAGATCGCTGCCACGCGGTGTTGAGGCCGTTGGCGGCGGCCCCTAATCGGCCTTTGCCGAAGCGATGATCGCGGTCAAGCGCCGGCACTGAGCGCCACCCCGTGACGCCTACGGTCTGAGCCCCCCCATCTACGCACGCACACACACACACGCGCGCACCATGTTTGAACAGACGCACGAAAAATGCGATGAGATCAACACACGACCGAGGCCCGTGACCGACGGGCACTACGAGTGCCTGCGGGCAACCCGCCGCCCGAAAGCTGAACGGCAGTAAGCCGCGCAGTTAAATACGGCGCAGGCGAAAGAGCGGCTGATGGCCACGGCAATTACGAAAGACGCGGTCCGTAGGCAGACGGCACCCTCCTCCACCTCCACTCCCGAGTCTGCTAGTCTATGTATATCCCACGCTGAATGACGATCACAGCTCAATACGAAAGCCACTGGCCGCGGTCGAGCTCTTCGCGATACACGGTACAACAAGCCGAAAGCGTATTCCCGAGCGTGTGACCTAGGATTTCTGCTGGTTACAATGGGTGACCCGCGTCCTCATTCGCCGTTCACCGGGGTAAACCCGGTCCGTACGCCGTACGGAAACACTCCTACATGTCTATCCGACTGACCAACACTGAAATACGGCCGGCCGATACACAAAATCCACTCCAATTTTACGCGAAAGCGGCGAACGTAAGCCTAACACGGTCAAAAACGAGAAATACTCCGTGGGGTACCGTTGAGAAAAGCATGTACTCACCAATGCGAAGAAATTTGTGTGACAGTCCTCAAGACTAGCGCCGTTCGAAACTCCCGTTGTATGCGTCATGCTGTCGCCATCATATTAAATGTCCGTAGGACAAAGGGTAGGTTCTAGGTGGTCTCCAAATCCATGAATTTAGGAAAAATCCCGAACCCAATAAAAATTCATCAGAAGATGGCGACAGAAGATGGCGGATAGGAAACAACAACGCGCTAAGTGACAGGAACACTCATTGGATGACAGAAGTCACGTGCTTTTGGTCATGTGGTTTCAGGTCGACTACATTAAGATGGCGGCGCCCAGTGACGGTGGAAGGTTGTGAGCATCTGTAAAGAAATATACGCTGAGATTATGGCCCTTTTAACATTTCTGGGTTTCTTTGCTGCATTTATAATTGCCCTTTGTATTGTCATCGGAATTGCGTCTCGGTAGGTGCTGCTGTGGTGTCCTGAATTCTGCTTTTTTGCCTTATGCAAACCGGTGAATGGTTTCGTGAACAGGGTTTGATTTCGTTACATATGAAACTATCGCCGGCGTGTTTATTCTTGCAGTTCTGGAATCACATTCAGATGGTGTCGTTCTTTGCACTGATTACATAATTATTGTTATCGGTTCTCGACCATGCCTGCCGATTGTTACCTGTCGCGTGCGTGCAGTTTCGTGGGAGTGTCCCCGTCAACACACACAATGATGTGTATTTGTATGTGGTCCTCACGAAAAGCAATTTTACAGCCTCATCTCATTGATTTCAACTAGTTGCACGCATTTGTCAAGGTGCTTTCTTCTTTATTAAGGCTATGAATTTACGCGCAGGTCTGTTTCGTGGTACTTGTCCAAAGTTCTACGGCAACGTTTCGGCGTCAAACTCAAGATCGGAAGATTCGGGTTTTTTTCTATTCAAGAAGTTCATCTTCAGTTCAGGGATGGAACTACGCTGGTAATAAAAATATAAAGTACCTTTGCTGCCTTTTGGTGTTTTATTTGTTGGAGCCCGTGTGTTGTGGTAGTGGAAAAAAAGACGCTGCGGCGGAAAAATACATGATTTTGGTTAGAAAGAAGCTCTAAGACTCTGTCCTCTTTCTATGCTCCAGGAAGTGGAAAAAGCTTGGCTTACCAGTAACCTGATCTCTGCAAAATACAGGTAAAACAGTCTGGGAGCAAGCACGTAAGTTTGCTTTGCATGCTGTGGCATCTGTCTGGTGCTCAAAGGCAAACAAGACAGTCATTTGGCATTACAGTTGTAGTTTGTAATATATGGCTGAAGATCTCGTGTGCATTCGTGCAGCTCCCTTGTTGTCATCTGCTTGGGTGACGTGCGACTACAGGCTCATTTTGACAAGCTCTTAGAAAAAAAAGAACCCGATCGTGGGCCGCCTGACAGAACTACACGTACGTTCAAGCTGCAACTTTCAAGGAAGGCCAGGGCCATTTTTAAGGTAGGACCTTTGCTTGCCCCCTTGTGGTAAGCTAGTGTGTGCATACCCTACACTGCTGCATACCTTTGGTCACAACAGTAGCTGCTAATGTGACAGACAACAGTAAGATTGCAGTGCCGACAAATTTTAGAGACACCGAGCAGATACGTGGCCTGGACTAGAGTAAGCAAAAAAGCCCGAATAAGGATTCCAGGGATGGCAACGTGGTTGTTTGAATTCAATGTACTGGGAACCATAGAATATGTGTAGAGTACAGTAAAACGTAGAATGGTACAAACGTCATTTGCCCAGAGCTTTTTTGTTCTGAACAGGTACGGTTACTTGCATGTCATTTGTGCTATGTAAGGTCAGTCAAGGAGTGCACTAATTGAATCATAAAAATGGATGCCTCAGGATAAGTATTTTGTTTTTTTTCTAGCGATCACTTGTGAAGTCGTCAGACTTAGAAGCCACACAAAAAAATAGAAGAAATTAACTCGATGTTCCTGTAGAAGTCCACGCATGATGAAGAAAAGTGAAACAAATGTGGATGAAAAGACAACATGCTTATTTTTTGTGCATGCAATGCTCTCTCAACTCAGCTGATGTGAAAGCCGTTTTCTTATGGTATATGTGTACTGTTGGATCTCACACTGGCTGTGTTTACAAGTGCAGTGTTTCATAATATGAACAAAGCAAAGGTCATATTTTCACTCGGGCACACACTACCAAAATTATACAAATGCTACAGCCTCATATGCCCTCACTGGTGGTGTCATTGTGGTGGGCTGCATGTGTCGAGTTAAAGTGACAGCCATAGGATCCTGGATTTGCAGCTTTTGTCAATGCTGCCCGGTGAACTGGCTTTCATGGTATGACATGCGTCATACCTTCTGCTGTGTTCTCTACCAGAGTTCCCAGACTCCATCACCATTGTGGACATGTTGCATAACTGTTGTGTCGGGGTTGAGCTGGCTGCAGCACGCCGGCGCTGCCGGCAGTAGCCACCCACGACTTGAGAGCGGAGTGCCGAGAAAAAGAACGTCCGTCTTGAATGAGCGCTCATCACCAACTGATTAATTTACGCATATATACATATGATACATGTCACTGCTGCGCGAGGCACCACATGACAATCGAAACAGAAACCGCAACTGGAAATGAAACTAAATGGAACAACACAACAGTGTTGCACCTCGCCGCCGGCAGCGTCAGCGTGCTGCGGCCCTTCGTTCTTCTTCGGCGCCACAGCCAGCCAACCCTGACAGAACAATAACATTTTTCAATCCTCGACTTCTACATCAAGTGTTCAGGGGCCACCATTCTCTTCCGTATCATCATCACTGCTTGAACCACGTAGTGAACCATTTCTATGTGCCACCTGTTCGGACATACATGCTTCAACGCTGATCTCTGCACAGCTTCGTTTCCAACTTGATTTTTGTGCCTTGTAATACCCTGCGTCACCTTGCACACAGCAGCAGATATGTGTAATGGAGCTTACACACCAGTCACCTGGGCTACAAAGCCTTCTTTTACGTCACCCCTACACTATCCTTGCTGACCCTATTTTCCTCTTGCTGTTACTTATAAAATTAACTCTTTACATTTTCACTGAAGTGATGCCTCCGCTAAGGTCTGCAGCTCTCAAAGAACCTGGCCACTGGAATATAATTACTAGCACATCTCTTTTCAATAAGCCAGTCAGTTGCTATGGCAGCTATAAAATGGCACTATCTTTGGCATTTTGTCCTAGCATTCCAACAGGCCTCATAGTGTTTCTCTGGGATGCACACTTTGTGGTCAATCTAGTGCTTCATTTCAGCCATCAAGAACTGTCCACAGACTGCACGTCGTTTAACACAGTACTGTGCATAGTGGTACCAGCAATGCTTGTGTTGATATCGTCAACAACCCACTAGCATTGCCTGCCTTTCCACCGCAAAACTGTGTCCTGCTCCATCCTGTACATATCTAAGCCCACACAGCACGCAGCTGCAGTTCACAGTGACCAGCTGCAGTTCACAATGATGCCATATCACGTGACGACTGCTCTGGCCCCCAGGCCTTTTTGGTTCTTGCAGAGAAACGTTACTGAGAGCTGCCTGCCTATACCATCGCCCTCCAACATGTGTGGGGTCCTAAAGGAGTTGTGCTCTGGAAACTAATAGCTGTAGTTTACGCCGTAGTGTAATGAATACATGGACATTTATTAGCGGCTTTTACACAACAGCGCGCCCGCCTGCTGAATCTTACAAATAACTGCAGCAACATGACAAGCAGCTTATGTAATATAACTCGCACGAAAAATTTAACACACACAATCTACCGCGAACGTGGCGTCACAGGCGTTCGACTAGCCTCGGGAGTCTGCATGGCTGAGCCACCAAATTGCCCCCGTGGACCTCCCACAAGAGATGACTATCTTCCTCATGTTCCAGGATACCCTCTCACCACCGCAGTAACAGTGCCACTCTCGTATGGCAGCCAGTACGCTAACTACACCACAGGGCATTAGTACCATGGGGCAAAAACAACTTTGCAGGGGTTGCGACAACCTTCACACATGACACAGAAAACTTCCTGTTCTTCCGTTCACTGGAGCAAACCAGTGTATATATTCTTCAACATCTCTGTTCATATTTTATTTTTTTAAAGCCCTCACACCTTCAAATATGGACATCGAATACCCTCCTCCATAGTGCCTACTCAGACTGAGGCCATAAGAGGTTGTCACCACGTACAATAAAGCGTTTCTGAGCCTCAACTTGTTATTGCAGTACTGCTAAATACATAATTTGGTATGGTGCTGGACTTCTACACACTTTTTATTTTCTTCCTTTCAGCGCCTGTCGGTCCATGTTTGGAATGCAAGTATGATGCAGCTAGGAGCACCATCACACGACTGCTTGCTTCACGTTACACTTCAAGAAATTGCGTTTCATGTGCTTGCACGGGACTCTGAGTATGTATCACTTTTGTTTTGATCTCCAATACTGTTTTGTTTTCATTATTTACACTGCTCTTGTGTTGCTGCTTTACTACGTAGGAAAACTATTTGTACCTGGCATGAGCTTCCTGGTTTGCCATACTGCTTGAACACGTGGCTTTTAAGCAGTGCTATATTAACATATATTGCCCCTTGTCACACATATATACAAGGTGTATCAACGAATGTGTCCAATATTGTTTGAGAATCAGCAAAAGACGCTATTTGCTCGCTGTCTTCACAGTAGCTTTTTCTGTAGTGGCAGACCAGACATCTTAAAAAGGCTGAAGACATCATTTGTAATGGTAATTAGGAAAGCTAAGTTAATTACATTTTAATTAGTGGAGTTTGGCAGTTAAGTCAAATGGGAGAATTGAAGTTCTTGGTGCAAAAACCCATTGCTGCTTTGAGGTTACAGAAAAGTGGCCTCTAGTAATTACTATGAATTAATGAAATTCTCCTGATTGCTGCGGCGAAACCAAAACCAACGAACCGAAGAGCGCAACAAGCAGACTACTACAATGACGTCACTGTTCAAAACAGTGGTTACAAGGCTGAAGTTCTTCCCCGTTCGATAACATATGTGCGTCATGCGTGCTGTAATTGCGAGCGCAGCCCACACACCCACACAACGAAGTCGGTTGAGGGTTGATATAACAAAGCTCTCTCATTTCAGTTGCGCTCATTCGCGTTTCGGTTTCGCCGCAGGCTTGGGAAGAATTTCATTATTTTGCAGTTATTACTTAAGGTCACTTATCTGAAATCTCAAAGTGGCAATCAGTTTTTTGCATGAAGGACTTAATTCTCTTATCTGACTTAACTGCCAAACTCCACTAATAAAAAGTTAATTATTTAAACTTTCCTAATTACCATTCCAAATAACATCTTTAACCCTCCTAAGATGCCTGCCACTATATAAAAAGCAACTGTGAAGACAGCGAGCCAATAGTGCGTTTTCCTGATTTTTTAAGAATATTGGACACATTTCCTGAAGCACCCTGTATGTGGTGTATGTGTAGCCCATTCTGCTCGCATTGCCTTCATTCTCCTAATGCTGACTAGAAATGAGCACAAGTCTTAGTTTTGTGGCACAGTCTGGCACTTTTCAATGGCAGTCTAGTCCAGACCTACGTTTCTGACAGGCCCGGTGTGCTAACCCCTGAATATGCCACTGATTTGGAACAGCCAATGTTACGTGCACAGTTGTTCGTTTTCGTACAGCATGGTTGAGGCATGCACTGAGAACTGAAGCCAGGCTAGCAATTGAGAAGTCGATGCACACGATGCCCGATCACCCTATTGTGTCATACTCTTGAAGGCGAAGCTCAAGCGTCCTCCAAGTTTTTGTTTTGAAACTTCTCATCACGTGGCTCCGTGCGAGCATGGGGAAAGCGACAAGCTTCTACTGTCAGGCCAGCCTGCATAGGCCTTTGGGTAGTCTTGCTTGTCGATTGCAAGCAAGAATTGCGAGCCCGAGTTGAGCTCATATTCAAGTCTGTCCTGCTCAATCGATTTTTCCAATTAGCCTTAGCTCAGCCTAGTCCTAAATGCTCAAGGATAAGCGTGGCAACCCTGGCCCAACTCACGCTTTCGGGTAGCACGGGTCATTGATTACTAACACAAGCACCTGACTGCTGCAGTGAGCAAAGCTGTGTTGAAATTATGCAATACGGCTACTTCCTAGCTAATATGGAAAATACTTCCTTCAATAAGAGTAAATTGCTGTATTAAATTTGCATGTTTCATTAAATGTTTTTTGTTTACCAGCCAGATTATTATTATTAATATTGCAATACATTTAAGTATTCCTACTTTCCATCGGTCATTGGACTATGGAATAACCTCCCACGTAGTTTAGTGTCCTCAGAATCTTCTCACTCATTCGCTGCCGATCTTGAGATATATTTTGACCAGTAAGTAGCGACGTCGTTCATAACGGCGCAACTGTTCGCAGAATGTACTTTTTAGATTCTATGCCATGCGCAGTTTTCATTCGTAGAGTTGTCAAATGTGTGCCTTCCTCTATTAGTCTCTGCTGTTCTTTTTTGTTTTTGCTTTTCAATATGTAGTCCCATATAGCCTGCATAGTTATCCTTTCTTGTTTTGATTTTTACTACCTTTTGTTATTAATACTATTCTTGTTCTTCGGTAGATAGGTACATATGTAGTAACCATTCTATATCCTTCTGGACCCACTCCTGTAAGAGCCTGTTTTATTATTGTTATTATTATTGTAATTATTATAGTAGTAGTAGTTGTCATTGTTGTTATTGTTGTTGTCTAGTTGTTATACATCATCTGTATATTATTCCCATTTGTGCAGGTATTGTGTTAGCCTTGGTGTGTTTACCGCGGCACTTCGGATATTTAAGCATCCTCAGGTGAGTAAACATGTATGTCTTTATTGCAAAATTGCAGCACGAACTTTCAACATATATGTAGTATTGGAAGTAAAAGTGTACCAATTGTATAACATTGATTTAATAATGGAGCCTGAAAGAGATGCAAAATAAGAAAACAGTCAGGTTCTTGTCAGATGCATCAAAACATGTAAAAACGAGAAAATGCAAAACAGCTTTATTTGCAAAACATTGTTTTCATATCAAGGTGAGATGATTTACGAGATGTAGTGCAAAACATGGTAAGGTAGATTTAAAATGATTGTGTTGCTGCCTGTTCAAATGAACGTAAGGCAGCATACTCTGCCTCCTGTAGCTGGCAAAGTAGCTTTGACCTCTTCCAACAAAGTTTGCTTCACTAATTGTGGACATTGTGTGGGACTTACTCCTGTCCTGTAATGCGAATCATAACAGACAATGACTGAAGAAGCGATGCTCTATCAAGTTATTTCTGTCTGGTAATCTCACGTGAGCATGCTCACTAATTAAAGCTGATCCATTTATGAATATGCTGCTTTGTAGGACACAAGCAGCAACGACTCATGCCTAGCGCAGTTTTGTGTGACGCTTCAAGGCAATGCCTCGTTTTCTGACGAGGACCTCAGCATTGTCCACGTAAGTCAAATTAAATGCATTTGAGTGATCTTGAAAACAGCTGCACAGACTTTCAGAAACAAGAACGATGAAATAGTCATACACAAAACACAGGTGCTGATTTCATAATGAAACAAAATTTTACAAGATTTGCATACTTGGCAAATGGTGCTTTTCTGCAGTGCGATTGTTTGAACCATTGCCACTAGCTTTCTTTATGCTCATTTTGGTGAGCATTGTTACTATGTATAATTGAACGGGATGAAAATTGCAACAAATTGTTATGTTGGATCCTCATGTTGACTGTATTAGTAAAAAAAGAAAAAAGACATTCGAATTGTAGCAGGAATTTAAAATATTCCGCACATTCCAACTTGTTAGTTTTCTTTTTCAAAGCATTTTTTCAGCATGTCTTGCTTTTTGAAAGTTTTAGAGAACTTTGAACAAGGTTGCTGAAGAATATATTATACAGCATAGGCGGGTTAATTCGACACTCCTTAATTTCGTTTGGGACGCTAAATCCCAGAATAATATTACTTGTCAATTTGGAAAATAGGATAACTCGGGTGGGTGTCTCATTCTCAGCTAGCATATGCATTGTTTTTTGGCATAAAATTTTCGTTAATTCGGTCACATTTGGCCATAACCCGGTTAATACGGACAATCCTTGGAGTATGCCAAGCACGAGGTGCCTCAGGGGTGGGAGGTGTGTGAGCAGAAACGGAGTTCACGAACAACCAAAATGAGGTGGCGCTTTTCGCATCTGACCTCAGTTTTGTCCACACATGGATTCGACACTCAGCAGCTTTAGTTAAGCTTGATGCAATGCGTGTGCCATCTCGCAGAACTCAGACATGGCAGAAGCTATTCAAGATAAAGAGCTTTCAGCCGCGGTTGGAATGCTGACGTAAAATTTAATTACTACATCGTGATGGAATTGCCTGCCCTTTAACCTGCAAAACAACTATTGTCATGTGTGCAGTATTACATACTGTGCACATGACAATGATGGTGGCAGTATGTAGTAAAAGACGGGTGCAGAGCACATTGTGGGCAAACTAAACACGGGAATGTCACTGTGGTCTCATTGAGAACAAAGTCGCAGGAAGACTGAAATAGTGGCATTTGCACTGCTCTTAAGCAAAATAGTAAAACCCCGTTAATTTGAAGTCACTGGGACCGTGAGGAATTTTTCATTTAAGTGGATTTTCGCATTAATGGAAAATATAAAAAGTGGGATACAAGGAACATGAAATGATTTGAAGTAATCAGGGTTGGTTTGCTGTGCCAATGAGTTTCCGGCTTCAAGGGTTATTTTTTTTCATCAATACCAGGTCACAATTTCACCGCAAACGAGGGGGAGCGCCGGGCCTTGCCGATGCCACTGAAGATAAAGAAAAAAATAACGATGCGATCAACTGAAATGCGCCCCTGCAAAAGACAAGAGATCTTCACTGCAACGCAGTAGTGACACGTGGGCAGCATGTTGCCTGCTCCTCGCTGCGTCAGCACGTCATGATGCGACCATTCGCCAATTCTTTCTAGTAAAATAAAGAATTTAATGAGAGACAGTGTGACGAAATTCTCGATGTGTTTTGGCTCAAAAACATGATCATTTAAGCTTTCAAACCGAGTTTTCGAAATAGGCGTTGCTGGTAAGAACTCCACCAGCAGTGCAAGTGCGCAAATTGTTGGAGCAACCGGCACTCGGAAGTTCGCATACGTTGCGAATCCCACCAGACTGTCTCTGATTAATTTCTTTATACTCCCAGAAATAATGGAGTACATCATTGACGTGCTGATGTTACGAGCAGCGTGCAATATACTGCCCACATGTCACCACTGTGCTACAGTGAAGCACATACTGTTTTCCGCAGGCACACATTTTAGCTGATCATAATACCGTTTTATTGCAATAGCAGTTATATAAACACTCGCGGCTGGATTTTGCCGTTGGCGTCATTCATCGTGTATGCATACATATCTATATATATAAAAATTCAAGAAAGAAAATAATCTAGAAAAACTCTCTAGTGCGCGGAATCTATCCTCCAACCTCTGAATTGTGAGTGCGAGGCGTGAGCCACTGAACCACGAAAAAACACCTCCTTTAAAGTTCATACGGCAAGCTAATTATATAGCGATGGACATCTCAGGGAAACTATTATCGTGTTTTCAGCATTACCAGTGAGATGGCGCAATGAGTGTGCATCGCCAGATTGTCACAACGTGGTGGCGCGCACTCTCATCTCCCACGCGTACTTTGCCCCGCAAAGAGGGGCGCTTTCGTGTGCGCTCGCTTATCTCGCGGTGGGGACAATCGTATGCCTTGGGCTTTGACCAGAACGCTTTTGTTGTCGTTACTGGGTGCAGAATGGTCACTGCACTCATAGCTAAGGGAGAGTTTGCAGAAAGGGCACGCTTTTCAAACACAGCAAAGTGACAACAGAGGTGCTTATTTGAATTCATCTGTACCTGTGAATACGTTTCGTGCATCATTTGTGCGTGAGAGACGTGGGGCACATTTCGATCTGCTTCCCATTCTTCGCGTGACCTTTCAATTTGTTGCTATCGCATTTATTGCTTCGCCTTTGCAGCAAAGCTGTGACTTTTTTCTTTTCAATTTAATTTTGACGCTGTAAGTATTGAGGCTGGGGTGCTTCAGCTGCCACTCATTGATATCGTTACAGTACAAGTGGCTCCTAAAGGCTGTCGTTTCCGCGTTTTTGTGGTGAAATCGGGATCCGGAATCACCACATTGCACCCAAAGTTTTGAATTATTCAGACTGGTGCTCACTGCCATTCCAAATTATCCACGCAAACATACATTACAAAATACCGGACCGTGGAAATTCTTCAAATTAAGCGGAATTTGCTCTTAATGCTTGTTATCCGCACATACATCAAGGAACGCAAGGTATAAGTTAGCTTTTTTACAGTCATTTCTCATGCGCAGAGTGAGGCAGCGGCCGTGTTTTGTCAATAATCCTGTTGTTGACGGTTTGTTTTGATGCTTTGGTGGTAGCTTGCTACAATATTGGTGACTTGCTACAATGTCAATGTCGTCAAGCAAGGCTGCCACGAAGTTTGCAAAGTGCGTCATAGCACACGCTTCTGGGTGTCCCTCGAGGTGTCAGCAGATACCACTGTCACGGTTAAATAGCAGATTGCAAGAAAATAAAGCCGTGAAATGCTTTTATAGAGTGCGCAGGTGGTGTGGAGACAGCTGGCTGTAGACAGTGCCATCAACCACCGAATTAGCGAAATGCAACAAAAAAGCCATTTCAAAACAATGTGTGTATATCGATTGCGAAATGTTAAGCTACCTAACTTTTTTTTTTGCATTACAGCATTTTTTGCTCATCACGAAAAAAGTTTTGGTAAAATTTGCCCGGCATAATAAATGTGCCCCCCAACTTTGCTTCGATTTTTCCGGTAGAAGTGTGTTCATTATGCAAGTATATACGGTACTTACGTGTTCATCCAGAAAATGAAGTTGTATTGGAGTAATAGACTTTCATTTTTTTTCCCTGATACTTATGATTGTTCAGTGTTCCGTCAATTTTAACATTTTTTTCAGTTCCATCGTATTGAAATTAATGAGCTTTTACTTTACTATGAAATGCGTGTCACAGCATTTGCTACATATTGCCACGCAATATTATACACTAATATTATACACAATATTATACATCTAACATAACATCCAAAGCATCCCTGAAAAAAAACTGAATTATGACATGAATCACAAATGTGTTTAGCCATCTCTGTTTTTCATTATGCAGAACACGACATTGAGCATTCAACAACCAGAAATAATTCTTTATGAAGGTAAGCCCTACAATTTTCTTTCGCCTGATTTTTGCAGTGGTTGTTCCATTTAAGCAGCAATTTCATTTAGGAGAGTTTTGTTTAATAGGAGTCTACTATAGATACACATAAAACCAAATGAATAATGGATTTCAGTTAAGTACCATATTAAAGTTATTCTGATATATACATACTCATTCAAGTTTCATTCATACAAAGCCAGCTAGCAATGAACCCAGCCAAACAGTACTGTAACTTGCCCATTTTAATTGAAACACAAAATCATTCAAGTAAATGTAAATGAAAATGGGAAAAAAATCTTGCCACAGGCGAGACCTGACCATACTCATTCACATTACGGGTACAGTCCTACCCATGTATTGGCTGTGGTACTGTTTTCCCATTCTGTTTCTTGGAACCTCCACAATCTATGGTTATGGTTTTAAACTGCTGACTCGGAGGTTGTGGGACTGAATTTTGGCCGTGGCCACTGCATTTTCTATGAAGGTAAGAATACTTGAGGCCTTTGTACTTAGATTTAGTTGTACAATTTAGGACACACTTTTTCCTTAGTAGCGTATCATGAGAAGTCGTTCTACTGCACCAATGTGTTCGCATGTGTTCGCATTCGGTCTAGGAGCTTTTGCTTCTTGTGCTGCCTCAGACATGCAAGTTTTCACACTATTGGGTGTCTCTATTGAAAACTGTTCTAGCTAACCCTAGCTATCTTTGATAGCATGCCACATAACAAAACACTAGATTGCACCCTTCATCATCTGCTATGATCATGCCTTATGGGGCTGGCTAATATTTCCAGGGATACAATTAATACAGCTATGATACTCAAGTAACAGCATATATAACAATATAATATTTAGTTGGATTTAACGTCCTAAAACCGAAATATGAATGTAAGAGATGTGTTGGAGGGCTCGAGAAATTTCGATGTTGCCGCAATACGAGAATGTGATGAGGTGAAGGATACCTCAAATTTGAAGGATACTCTTTTAATCGAACGTTGACTGTGTCTTTGAAAAGTTTGATCATAGCGGAGCTTGAAATACAGCTTTGTCGCAACATGAGAATGTGATGAGGTGGAGTAAAATGAAAATTTGAAGGTTTTATTTTGCATTTGTTCTTGGGGAGTTAAATTGTTCGAAAAGTAAAAGTTCCAGTGCGAATCAAATCGAACAGCAAACACTGTTCAACAAATATTCAGAATTTCGAATATTTGCACACCCCTTATGTTATGTTTTAAAAACAGAACTTTTCTCTTTTATTTTTTTTTTATTACATACTGCAGTCCTATAAGGACCAAGCAGGAGGGCAGATGGGAAAGTTACATGTATCGCATGGTAGCGGTGAATACATATCAATTAGCATGTTTTGGTCATACACACAAACAGTATAGATATATAAACAAATACACACATACGTACATTTATACACACATTTTCAGGTAAAAAAAACGTTGCACAGTGCAAAACTCATTGTAAACTAGAAAGTTGCAACGATCACACTGTCTCAAGGTCAAGCAAACAAAACCATTAAACCATTAAACAAAACCATTTTGGCGGCACTTTAGCAGACCTGCAGTCATAGCTTTTTCTATGGAATGTTTTGTTCACTTCAGTGAAACACCATATGTTTTTCTTTTTCAGAGAGGCTCCTTGAGGCACTGTATTCAAAGGAGTTTGAGGTGGAGCACTCAGCTTTACCAGTATTGAAAAACGAGGAGCTCGGTAAGGATGAAAACGGATCCTTAATTGAAGAAGACACAGAATCCGAAAGGGCTAGACTAAGATCAGTCGTTGCAAAGTTGCCTCAGGTAAGTACATCTCTTTTTTTTTTGTGTGTCTAATTACTGTGTATTCAAGTGCATTTTCCTTTACATGTTAAGGTTGCAATAATGATACGTCCCGCTTCCTACAGTATCGCGGTACCAACACTTGCAATCTGGTACACCGTACACATTTATGGCTATTTTTCCCATGCTTACTTGCTCCCAGAAAACATGATTATTCGACAACAACGTTCATTCAATTGTTAAACTGGGGCTAGCGTGGTCCATTTTCCAGCCTCAAAATTTTAAGTGAACAAGAGAAGTTGAGACGCATGCATGAATGAGAGCTGTAGCTGCCTACCACAGCAGCTTTTATGCAGTACTCAGCTGCCCATGTAACCCACTTGCGCTCTGTTTGGGTAACAGCAAATCATCCACCACAATTGATTCAACGGTTACGGTGCTCGGCTGCTGGCCTGAAGATCGCGGGTACGATCCCGGCAGCGGCAGTCGCATTTAGCGGAGACAAAAGGTTAGAGTTGTGTACTGTGCGATGTCAGTGCGCGTTGAAGAACCTCGGATGGTGAGGTCGAAACTTCCGTAGCCCTTCGCTGCGGCGTCCTTCATAATCATGTCGTAATTTTGGGTCGCAGCACCCTAGATATTATGGGGTACCAGCAAGTCACCGTGTGTTACTCCCAGGACGGCTCATCACACCAACATCGTGATGCAAAGTGCCAGTCTAATTTGCTCACCTGCCATCTGGCCATCACACGGTAATTTCACATGTGCAGACGAATATCACGGAGGCAGTCATTGTCAAAAGCCCCCCCCCCCCTCAAAGAAGTGGTGGAAGCTATTTCAGAGAAGCCACTGTTGTGTAAAGAAGGCTAGCTAAGGTATCTTGATATTAGCTTAGAAGCTACTCTGCTTTAAAGGAGTGCAGTGAAATCACTGAGTAAGAATGCCTGAGTAAGAAAGCTTGTAACGTTATGGCTTAGGTATATTTCAAAAAGATGTTTTAAAAATATTTCCTTGTGTTATGGTTTTGTTTTCTTTCAGACAACATGCATAAAAGTGGAGGGGGCATCTGTCAAGATTCTCCAGGAAAACTGGCAAAAGTATGTCAATATTCTGCTGTCAGGCAAAAAAAGGGTGATCTCCTACAAATGACAGTTTATACAATCTATGTGTGTCGATAGATTTGTTACAGGGAAAGCAGTGCATTGTATAAACTGTTCATGCAACTTAAGATTCTTTTCATTATGACGTTGGCTCATTAGTCAGCCATTTCTTCATGATCTTGCAATGTACAATCTTGGCACAGACCTTTTTAATTCGACAATATCAGTCAGATCTGGTTGACAGATCTCACTTTCAAAGGAAATACCTTTTACACTATTTTAACAGTCACTTGACAGAAGAGAATGAACTGAACATTTCCATCTTCATAAGAAAAGAGAGGCATGCAAGCACGGATACAGTAGAAGAGATCAAGACAACACAAATACATCTCATCATCAAGGCCTGATAAATTAATAGTTGTCGCGAATTTGTAAGCCAGCCATCTGTTAGTTTGCATAGAGATGAGTTGAAATGCCCAACGAATTATCTCTCGCATAAACCTCCGACATATGCCATAGTGACAGGTGGCTCTCCTCCTCTCCAGCATGCGCAGATAAGTTTTTATGTCTACTTTCTGTTCCATGCAGTGTGCCTTCTCATTTGATGAGAAGTTTTTATTGTCTTTGTCTTTCTTGCATAAGTGTTTGCACGCCCACCTACTTTTATCATGAATCCATGCCCACTAACTCAACTTTCTGTGGTTCTACAGCAAAAGCTGTTATGAGATCACAACTCGGGTCACGTGCGGCGCCGTAGTTGTCTGCAGCCACCGCCAGTGTCCGTAACCACTATCCTAGTACCCAGGACACAGTGGGGCTCCAACCCAAGTCCGCTGTGTGCCAGCCCAGTATGCTACCGCTGAGCCATGGCAGTACTTGGGACTTGTTCGCAAACTTGCCTTAGGCAGGTTTGATGTCAGGAATGGAATCGCGTTAATATGAGTAATAAAGTGTTTTAGAACAGCAAAAGAACAACCAGGCGGCAAACAATTCGAATAGCGTAACGAGTGAGTCGTCGAATGCTCAAACCCATTACAAACGCTTGTTCTTGACTGACTGTGGTGCATAATCACTTCAGGCATAAGTCCTCATCGTCGTCAGGCACTACATGAACAATTGGCACAAAATTCATTTCAATTGTTCAACGGATACCACGCTTCTCAGAAGAATGACGAAAAATAGTGTAGCAAATACCGGCCTACTGCCCAGAAATTATAATTATTAATGCCATAGTGGGTACCCAGCAAGTATGGTTGCAGCAGTTACCCAATGAATGTTTAGAAAAGGCTCTGAAAGGCTGCTCTTCTAGCTTTCGCTCTGACTGCTGTGCTTTTCGTGCTGGCCCGGTGTTTTTTTTTTTTTTTTTTTTTTGCACGAGTAAGAGGGAAGTTGTAATCTTGCATTACACTGGTCTTTGCAGGGCCTTCCTGAAAAGCTTGATCCTCTTGAATACAGTTTTTTTCTTGAGTACAACTTTTTCACAAGTCTTTTCCAAATGTTTTTGAATTTCTGCATCATGCTTGCCCACTTTTACCAGCACATAAATGTAGAGCCATCCTAAATGAAGTTCTGCCATGTCATACAGCATTCCAGCTCTTATAAACAGGTTCTTTTGTCCAGAGTGCAAGAGAGCAATTTTTCTGTGCTCTCTGGCACTTTTATTTTAGTTTGCCGTGCAAACTATGAAAGCTAACTTCATTTGTAAAAGTGTACGAATTAAAAGAAATGTTCACATTATTTGATAGTGCCGGCAAGTGATATTCTGTATGTATGCAGTAAGTTGACATTACGGTAAGTATTGGAATATGCATATGTTAACTCGAATGTTGTTTATGATTCCTGTAGTAGTTACATAAAAATCTGGGCTAAATGTAAAAGCCACTCTTGGATAACTGAGCCACACCTCAAACTTGCAGAGGCCTATTTCTTGAGGCAAATGCCTTCACTGCTGAGCTGCTACAGGACTCTACACAGAGCTGCTTTGCCACATGTATGCTAACCCTGTCCAACGTGGCTATCACTGGTGACCAATTCCAGCTTGTTGCACTTACAAGGGCAGAAGCCACTGGCAAGGTGAGGCATTTCACCTTCAAAAGCTTTCTCCCAACCCATGAATGGATGCAGTAACTGGGATGCTTTCAGGGACTGATGTGACGTGTCAGTCACCCAAAACGTGCTATGACAACATAAAATATTTAAGAATACGCCTTTTTAGTTTACCAGCAAATGCCAGCTGCGTTCAAAAGACCGAGTCAGAGCTCGCGTTTTACAAAAAAGTATATTTTCAATTCAGACATTACAAACATTTCATGTACGTAAAAATATTTTAAGCTCAGATACAGTTCACAATAATGACGACTAAAAAGTAAATTGTGCTACAAATACATATTTATTTATTTATTTATTTGTTTATTTGACAATACTGCTAACTCAAGGTCGAGTCCATTGCACAGTGGGGTTACAATCAAGAATGACGCGTAGAACTTTAGTAGTGTAGAATGAAGACAATACAAAGCAAAAAACCTAACACAACTCGTTAGGCAAAACAGAAGCACAAAATTAATAATGACAAGATGTATGTATATGCAGAGTGGCTCCTTTAATGCATGCATTAAAGAATATTCAAGAATTCAGTCCTTTCATATTTACCAAGTTTGTTTACAGCATGGTTTTTTTCTGCATGTGCGGCCAGTGTGTGACTTTCCTTCGGTCAAATGTTTTATGAAACATAATTTATTGCCATTTTCAGCTTCACCATGATCAAGTTGACGTGAGCATGAAGGTCGCTTCACTGCGAACCGCTTACTCAGAGGATGAACTGCGGCACTGGGTTCAGCTGTTGTCCTCATTGTCACAGCGGCAAAGTAAACGAGAGCATGCGCCGCGTTCTCCAAGGGCTTTACTCCAAAGGCACGTAGCTAATTACACATCTAATTTATTATGTGCACTATGTGTCAAATGCCCACAGTGTACTTCGATAGTGATATTTATTGTGAATTAAAAAAACTGCAAGTAAATCACACTTGGTTCTTCCTAAATTATTTATAGCAACTTTATTATTGTTTTTTCTCTCTTTTAAGCCACAAGTGTGTTGAAAAGTTCATGAATACAGTCTGATTCCTTCAACATCATTTTAAACATGCAGGTTTTCTTCTTTGAGGATGCTTATGCGTGCTTCCGCTGAACTCGAGGAAATCTCGGTCTCAGTTAGAACTGCAGGTTGTGAACCTGTCGCTGCTGGAGTGCTACGTGCTAGGCTCAATGCTGATGTGGGATCACTGTTAAATACTGGTAATGTCCTGTTTTGAAGCTTGCACGTAGACAGCAGTTACTTTTGTGCATGAACTGTCGTAACCCACCTGGTTATGCAAAGTGACTCCTTGAAGTTGTTTATACCGCTTATTGCTAGAATATTTTTATGTTGTTTACATGTAAGCATCTTGCAGTATTACATAGTGTGCGATCGCGTAGTATGTCGTGACTGCTCGAGTAATCCTACGAATACAGCTTACATGAATAAACAATGCCGGGAAACAGTTTAGGCTTCTCTGAAAAAAAAACATACAAGTTCACAAAATTGCCAACCCTGTAAGCTGCCACTAGGAAAGAAAGTGCAGTTTTACTGTCTTTTTTTATTTTCTCATTTTGTTTTCTTTCTTTCTTTTTCACGTTTGTTTCAGGAAAAGACCAAGCTGCAAACCCAGAGCTAAGGTGTGCATATTTATACATTAATTCATAAAATGTGCTGGCATTAGTAAAACAAATTATATTAGTAAAATAGTCGTCACATGTAAATCATTCAATTGTTCGTTAATGTCCATGGTGCTGATGAACAGCTCTAGGCCTTAGTAAAGGTGAAGTTTTATTGCACAAAGAACAGAAATAGAATGAAAAAACGCTCAACCCAAATAAAGGCAGTTACACAAAGATGTAGCAGAAAAAAATGAATGTTCCTAAAGTGTGTTCTCTACATTAGGTCTTGTTAATTTTATCTTATACACCTGGAATAGTAGAAGCATCGTGAATTATCAGAATAGTAAAAGCGTTACAATTGAATATGCAGCTCTGAAGTTATGTTGGAGACTGCTTGGTGCACACTGGGGCCCTGCGATTCGTTGAAGCCACAACAGCTGAAGAAGAGCCATGTTTGGAATGTTCCGTTCTCTATTGGCATGATGCTACTGAAGGTTTGTTTTACTCGCATAATTGCCTGCCTCTATCCATAAATTGACACCGGATATTTTTCTATAGTTTGGAAAAGGAACATCACATTTATTCTGGAAGAGTTTGGGGGAATCACTTATTTTTGTAAATATTATTCCATGATGAAATATGCTGTCTTATTTTTTGCACAAACAGACTACTTCTACTTTTGCATTCGAACTAACTCTAGTAAAAACACAATGTTCTACCCTCATTGTTTTTGCATACTTTGTAATTTTAAAACCACACAATGCCTTCAAATTATGCAACAAACATATGGCTGTAAATACTGCAGCACGCTTTCTGTAACTCAAACTAAGTGGGAGAATTGATGATACGTCCATTTAATGCCACACTTCTTAAATTTTTCTCTGATACTGGGCATTTCTTGCTGCAGAAATGTTTCTCAGAATTTGGAAAAGCTGCGACATCCTTTACTGGACAAACGGTATGCTATACAGGAGCTTATGCTATTGAGAAAGAAAGAAGGAACACAGGAAACAGTGGCCACACACAGCCCCGCCACGGTGGTCTAGTGGCTAAGGTACTCGGCTGCTAACCCGCAGGTCGCGGGATCGAATCCCGGCTGTGGCGGCTGCATTTCCGATGGAGGCGGAAATGTTGTAGGCCCGTGTACTCAGATTTGGGTGCACGTTAAAGAACCCCAGGTGGTCGAAATTTCCGGAGCCCTCCACTACGGCGTCTCTCATAATCATGTAGTGGTTTTGGGACGTTAAACCCCACAAATCAATCAATCAATCAATCAGTGGCCACACACACGGGCGCATCAAAGTGCAGGAATACTGGAACTTAGGTGCACTCTAAAGAACCCTAGGTGGTCTATAACAATCTATAACCTCCTGCTATGACGTAGCTCATAATTACGTTAGTTAGAACTAAGAGGCAGTAAGAATAAAGGTTGCAGGTTCGGTCCCTGCTGGCAGCAAGGTATCTTTTTTGTCCACTTTGCTTCACATTTGTATTAAAATTGCCGTAAATACCATCCTCTATACTTTTCTTGGCAATATTGTCTGTTAGTTATCATTAGCATGGTGTCTAATGCAGGGCAACGACCACTTTAAATTCTCCTTCGGTCTTTAATTCGTAATTATGTGATTTAGCCCATAAAGCCTCAAAATTGGTGTTTTTTATGCTTAGCTTCTGCTTTCTGGCCTCTTCAGCATCAACACAGTTATTTAATGCATTTAGCATTTTGGTTTTCTGGACTAGTTGGTACATGATAACACAGTGAAGGGTTTTCTAGCATGTTACAATGCGAGTATGAGAAGAAGAGAAACGCACAGGACAGAAACTGGTGGAGCCTTTGTCCTGTGCGTTTGTCTTCTTTTAATGCTAGCATCGTAGCTTGCTGGAAACTCTTCACTGTGTCATCATGTAGCTACATAGTCTACTCCGACCACTGTGAACTAACTGAGGTTCCTTTTTTTTGTGTGTGTGTTTCTACTAGACTCGGCATAGCAGCTCAGACCTGCGCATTCAGTGCATGCTGGGAGGTGTCCATGCAGAAGTCAACCCTCTTGTCACTGGCCTGCTGCAGCACTGGTCGTCCAAGCTGCAGGCCAGGGCTGTGAAACACGAAGCTAAGCAGCCAGCCGTCTCAGAGTCCAAACAGGTGTACCTTCCTTTTACATCATCATTGTTATCATCATTGTCAGCCTGACGGCACCTACTGCCAAGTAAAGGCCTTTCCCTTGTTCGGCCAATCAACCCGGTCATGTGCTTGCTGCGGCAGCGTTACATCTGTAAACTTCCTAATCTCATCTCCCCACCTAACCTTCCGTGTCCCCTTGGCACGTTTGACTTCTCACCCATGACTGTCACATAGCCGATAATGCACTCCCTCGCCAGAGAAGGATTGGCCACCCTGCTGCAGTATTTAGCCACCACCTCCCACATAAGCGCACCGATTAACCTTTCTCGTATGTGCAAGCATAAATACCTCATTTGTCAAATCCCTGTCATGGAGTGGATGGATGGATGGATGGATGGATGGATATGGCTGTACCCTTTAGATCGGGCGGTGGCTAGCGCCACCAAGCCGTAATACTTAATGAACTCAAAACTATATTTATTTATTTTTTCCTTAAAAAGTGAGTTTGAGGATTCGTACTTTGCAGTGAAGAGTTTAATTTTCACTCGTGCCTTGACTTTAGCCACCAATCAGATAACCTCCTTCTAGTTAAGTCTACTTGCTTAAAGTCTATTTTGCCCTCCCGGTCCCTAAACCCCAGTGCTTTGAAAAACTCTGCGCCATCATCCTGAACTATAGGGTGAAGCCCTTTACAGAACATTATCAAGTGCTCGGCAGTTTCTTCTTCCTCTCCACACGCACTGCATACTGTGTCTACCCCTTCGTATTTGGCCCGATATGTCTTGGTTCGCAGTACTCCCGTCCTTGCCTCAAACAGTAGAGAACTACCCCGAGTATTATCATAGATCCTTTCCTTGGCAATTTCCTGCTTAAAAGTTCGATAGATCTCTAGTGCGGACTTCTTAATCATGCCCATTTTCCACATGTCAGTCTCCGTTTCCTTCACTTTCTTCTTAACCGATAGTTCTTTTTGGTTTGGCCACCTGCTGTTTTCTAAGTATTTACCAGTCAACTTCCTGGTTCGCTTCCTCCATTTTGTATCGACATTCTTCATGTACAAGTAGCTGAAAACCTTCCTAGCCCAACGCTCCTCCTTCATTTCTCTCAATCGCTTCTCAAATTTTATCTTGCTGCTAGCTTCCCTGCCCTCAAATGATGTCCATCCCATATCACCTTGGACTCCCTGATTTGGTGTATTCCCGTGAGCTCCTAAAGCAAGCCTACCTATTCCACGTTGCTTAATTTCTAATCTTGCTTGAACTTCTGATCTCATGCACAAGACCGCATTGCCGAACGTCAGCCCAGGAACCATGACCCCTTTCCATATTCCTCTCACAACATCATACCTATTGTAATTCCACAGTGCCCTACTTTTCATCACTGCTGCATTCCTGTTACCTTTAGTCGTCACGTATATTTCGTGTTCCCTCAGGTACTCGGTCACATTGCTTATCCATACGCCCAGATATTTGTATTTATCTGTTATCTCTAGCGTGACGTCCTGTATCCTAAGCTCACTACCTTCGTTGTCATTGAAAATCATGACTGCTGATTTTTTCTTACTGAATTTAAAATCTAACCTATCTCCCTCATTACCGCAGATGTCCATCAATCTCTGCAAATCTTCCTTGTTGTTGGCCATTAGCACTATATCATCTGCGTACATTAATGCTGGTAGTGCCTGATCAATAAGTTTTCCTTGTTTGACTAAAGAGAGGTTGAAGCCCAGCCCACTTCCCTCTAATTTTGCCTCTAATCCTTGTAGGTACATCATGAATAATAAGGGTGACAGGGGGCACCCCTGCCTAAGCCCCCGTTTTACCTCTGCAGGCTTGGATACCTGTTTTTCCCACTTTATAACTACCTTGTTACCTTTATAGATACCCTTTAAAAGATTAGTGACATGTTCCACGCCTAGTGTGTCCAGTATTCCCCACAATTCCTCTTGAACCACGCTATCGTACGCTCTCTAGATATCCAAGAATGCTAGCCACAGGGGCCTGTGTTCCTTTTCTGCTATTTCGATGCACTGCGTCAGTGAGAACAGATTATCTTCCAACCTCCTGTCTTTCCGAAACCCATTCTGCAGTTCCCCCAGCACCCCCTCATCTTCTATCCATGCCTGCAGTCTTTCCTTTATAATCTGCATCGCCAGCCTGTAGACCACTGATGTCACTGTTATAGGACGGTAGTTGTTTATGTCAGCTTTGTCCCCCTTTCCTTTATAGATCATGCTCATCCCGCTAAGTTTCCATCCATCGGGAACTTCACCATCGATTATTATTTTGCTCACTACCTCTCTCAAAGCCTGCTTAGACTTCGGACCTAATGTCTTTATCAGCCTAATTGGAATGCCATCTGGGCCTGTTGATGTACTACTAGGAACCCTTTTCTCAGCCCTTTCCCACTCTCGTTGTGAAAATGGAGCCATTGCACCACTTGATTCGTCCTTGTCTATTGTGGTGCATAAAGTATTTCTTTGTTGAAATTTTTCTGTCACCCTTGCTCTTATATATTCAATAGCTTCGTCCCCTTCTAGCCTGGCACCTTGGGCTGTAGTTATAAAACTCTGCTCTAGGCTCGTCTCATTTCTTAGGGAGTTTAGATGGTTCCGAAATTTCGCAGCTGCCTTTCTATCGTTTTTATGTACTTCTGCCAGCCACTGAGCTCCCTTTCTTCTAATCTTTTCATTGATCAGAAGGGATGCAGCCCTTCTACATCTTGGAAAGGTTTCCCATTTCCTTTCAACATCATCTGTCGGTTCACCCCGCTGCTTAGCATGTCTGTGTTCTCTAGAGGCTTCCTGACGTTTTGCTATGGCTCTCTTAACTTCCTCATCCCACCAACTTTTGGGTTTGTGTCTTCTTTTCCGGGGTGACTTGTTACGCGTCTTAGCAAGCTCTAGCTCAAAGAGTCTAATTAGATTCATGTATGTCCACACTGTCTTATTATCCTCCGTGATTACTTTCTCAATTTGTTTAGTGGCTATTTCAATTTGCCTTTCTGAATAAAAATTTTCCTGTAGTTGCTCATCTTGTCTCCTTCCCACTTTCACTGCTCTTCCAAAACTTAGCTTGATACGTTTGTGATCACTACCCAGACTTCTGGAGCCACCTTCATCTATGTGCATTCCCCTGAGCTTATCATACATCCTATGTGACATCAGTGCATAATCTATCGTCGACTGCAGCCTTTCTACCTCCCATGTTATTTGCCCTTCACACTTCTCGGTACTGTTGCAAATGATCAAATCAAGCCTTTCACACATATCCATGATCATTTTGCCTGTCGGGTCGGTATACCCATCTATATCTTCTATGTGCGCATTCATGTCTCCTAGTATAATTATCTCGCACTCTCTTCCTAACTCCTGAATGTCCTTTGATATACACTCTACCATTGCCTGGTTTTCCTCTCTGGCCTTTGCTTCCGTCCACAAGTACACGAAACCAAGGAGTGTCATTTGACCTGCCACTTTCCCTTTTAGCCATAAATGTTCCTTGCACTCCTGCTTGACCCTTTGCCAGTCTGTACTTTTATGAATGAATGCCCCAATACCACCCCCCTTTCTGCTGCCTTCTGTTCTATTACAATATTCCCACGCGTAGTCCGGATTGTTCGGAGGTTGTTCCATTTCCCTGAGATGTGTTTCTACAAAACCGTATACCATCGGCCTCTCTTCCCTTAGCTGTTCTTCTATCTCTTCCCACTTCAGCCTGTTCCTACCACCCTGCATGTTAATATACCCTATGTCTGAATGGGCTTGGCGCTCGTGGCTACGTCTATTTATGCCCCGGACTCTACCTATCTTAGACATTGGTGTCACTTTGGAATCGTATCTGTCCATAACACCTGTCGAAGAGTCTCCCTGGTTGTTTTCCTCGTTACTAGCTATCCTGCACCCCGAAGGGCTTGCTTGCCCCCAAAAAAAGCTACTGCGCGTCCTGCAAGTCGCCAGAGTGCGTCTCGAGTAGCAGCGCCATCCAGAGGCAAAGCTGAGACAGAGAAAGATGAGGTGCCATGAAAAAGGCACTTGTGAACCAAGAACAACAATGCTAGTTAGCAGAGAAAACATTCATCCACTAATTATGTAACTCCCACAGCGTCTTGCTGCACAAGCAAATGTGAATACATCCCACTCATGACACCAAACATTTTATTTCGCAGTGCTTGGCTCAAAGGGTAGCGAATGAACTCTTGTTACGAGCACGCGTAAATGCCTCATTTGTCAGGCCGCCATTAGGGATTGTGCCGAAACCATCTTGGATACCATAAAGAGTCGTTCTACAGGTAATGTGCAAAGGTATAGCATCAGTTTGCTTGTGCATCGCCCACATTCATGAAATGAAAAGCAACCATGACTAGTTTTCTTTTATGCAGCAGAAGTTTGTTACCGTAATTCAAACTCTGTTTAGTTGACCTTACTACAGTTAATTCAAACTGATGCCCTGATCCCGGCACAGCCCTGTGTATTTCTGTGGGGGAAAACTGCAGATAATTCAAACATGTCGGTATCCACGAATAATTCGAATTGGATGTTCTGGGTTTTCATGTCTCTGAGCAGAAGTCAGCCCACAGTTTTCACAATGCGTTGCAAAACCAAACCAAACCAAGTTTACTAGAGTTGCAAAACAACAAAACAGCAGCATTTCTCAGCAGATAATTCAGACGCTGCGCTGGAGCTCTTGTGCAAGCTGCAAAATATGCTCATGGACTCGCTACAGAAGGAATTCAAGCAAATTCAAATTGCTGATTACTTGAAAATTTTATAACGTTAACTCTGACATATAAATAATCATTTTGGAGTATAAATAGTGTAGTATATGTCGGCATAAAGGCTCAATTTTCACTGGAATGCATGTTGGGGCTTGTTTATGTTGCATCACTGACCGGTCAGTTATGTTTGCTGTTAGAAATCCATGAAATTAGTTTACGAAACCATCTCCTGCAAACTCAAAGTAGCACCTAGTTCGCAATAACAAGTACAGAGGCAGCTTCTCTGTGTTCTGCCGGTGCAGTGTGGTGCAATGTCCGTTCATTCTAGCACTCACCTGCTAATTCAAACTATGCTTAATTCGAACAATTTTATAGTTTCTTTCGAGTTCAAATAAACAAACCTTTAATATACTGGTTTTGGCATCGTGATTTGCGTGCTAGTTACTTCTGAGAGTTAAAAGTCTTCTACATTGTTAAAAAAGCTGTACTAATGTTGGTATTTCAAGGAATGTTGGTATCTTGTTGCTTCTTCTACAGTGGTAAAAATTATGCTCAGTCTTCTCACCTATGTATATTAGTTCATTTTTTTGTATACTTGAGTGTGACATCACTATGCAGAATTGGCAATAGTAATCGTATAAATGAACAGAATTAGCAATACTAGCTGCTTTTCAGTAACAACATGCCCCATAGTTAATTTCTCGCTACATGGCGGCAAAATGTTGACCACCAACCCAATCGTATTTAGGCACTGATGATTCTGCAAGATTGGCCCGACGAGGTAGTGTGTCAGAACTGCTGCGTCATTTCATGTTTTTATGATGTAGTGTTAATTGCAGCAGAACTCTTTTTTGTTCTGTGTTTTGTGCATACTAAAGAAAGTTGTATAATATGGATTCAGTGTTAAGTTCAATCACATTTTAGCTCTGAGGTACCCAAGAAGTGCACCTTTCACAATTTGATCTCATAGCCAATGAATTGTGTATTTTTATTTTACAATTTTTGATGTGTAGTATTTAAAGCAAAAATGATTTTTTTTTATAAATCGCGAGTGTCAAGTATCTGGTCTTCAGTTATTGTGAATCAAGTGTACTGTAACCTAAAGTCTGTGTTGCAACTGTCATATAAAGAAGCAGTCGCAAATGTTTTATGCTGCCTGGTAATTATGGTTCCACCTCACTGACCTAGTAAACTTTAATTTTCAGGCTGGCCCAGTCCTGTCTCTGCATTTGAGTTTGTCGGACACCAATATTTTTGGTCTGAGCTCAGCTGAAACAGGTGCTGTGATCCGTTTAGACAGCCTAAATGTAGATTGCACCAGTGCCAAGATGTATGTGAACATGGAAGGCTGTGCCTTGGCAGCTCTGCGCAACACTGTCCAGGTGAGAGCAACTGAGGCCCTTACACACTCCATTGTTTTTCCACAAGTTAAGTGTATGATTTTCGAAACCGAGAAAATCGAAATGGAACAACTGTGTGACTGGAGACAGATAGGTTTGTCTACTTTCCTGCTTTACTCTGCTCTCTTTGTCCGAGGGCAGTTCACATTTGCTCACTGTTCTGCAGTGAAATGTTCTGCTGCCAAAACTGATATCTAAAAAAAAAAAAAAATGGAATGAAAGTCAGAGTGCAAGTTGAAAGCGAATTTTGATGCACAAACGGCACAACTTTATGGTAATGCTAGGAAGGTGGCCTTATGGCAACATGTTCGTATTTTTTTCTTTTTCTATTTACCTCTTGTAATTTGGGGTGCGAGTGCAACTTAAATACAGGGGTTATATGCTGGAATATTATGTTAATTGTGTAATATTTGCTGACTCCCTATCTATCTGCAACTCGGGTCGTAGACTTTTGACAAACGGACGCTTTTTCTACATGGAGTGCGAACTGTAGGTGAGGACACAGGGCATAAGTGCAACACACACGTTAGTGACGCTAGTTAGGCCTTGCAGTAGTTGGCACGCTGTTACAGGAAGCACCCCCTGAATCAGGTGGGTCAAGCATAAAATTTTGGGCAAGAACTATAGTTATCTGAATGAAAAAGTGATCTGCAGAATTCATCTCATTGTTTCCTTTTTTTTTATCATGTGACAGTGTCTTAAAGAACCTCATAACCCTAAGCAGATCAACGTTCTTCTAATGTTGTGTAAATTTTCTCCAGTCTTACAGTTGCATTCCGGCTTCAGAGGTTAAACCAGCAGCGGCCTATATAAAAAGTGCACGCCTGAACTACAAGCCAGAGCAGAGGGTAAGTGTTGTGCGTGGTTCTGAACTGGGACAGCCCCCGCAGGCCTTTTGTTTGGGGCTTGCATTGTGATGGTGAGATTTCATTGAGCCCTTCATGAAGTTAACTGTAAGTACAGGTGTCTTGACCTTGATTTCTAATCGTGGTAGTGATTAGAAATGTTGTTGAGAAAGCAGGGAAAAAGGTCGATTGAGGTAAGTTCGTGTAGCTCAGAATTTAATTTTAATGGGAGCTAAGATTTCACTGTTGAAAATGCTCTATAAGGAGCAAAGCCAGGTGCAGGTCGCATTAACTGGATGAGCAAGGCTACTACTGTATTTACCCAATTCCAAAGTGCCCCCGATTCTAATGCACACCTGAATTACATGGCCCAACAACAATATAAAGCTATGGGGAAGTGCATATGTCGTTACCCAAATCTTAACGCGCATGCTATTTTAAGGTCTATATTTCACCAAAAAAAGTTCTCATTGAAATTGAATAAATACGGTAATTGACTCGGTACTACTGAAATTCACGCTTTTCACTCCTGCATAATTTATATGTAAAAATGATTTAATTATAAGCCTGGTATTTTATACCTCACATTGACATTGCACAGTGCTAGTAATGGTCTTCTAGGGAAACTGAAAAGAACAGCTTGACATCACATTCAGCAGCTTCCTTTCCTAAATGCCTGTGGTGGCACTAAGGAAACACTTCTGTGTCAACAGTGGCCCAGTCCAGTTACTATGCTGAACTGCGTATCTGCAGTTGAAATCTGGCTGTCAGATATTTTATTTATGTTCAGTCACTTACTCAGCCTTGGTGCTTACATATACATCTATGTTCAGTAAATTTAAGCAGTGATGGTGGCAAGAATCATGATAAGCGTTCTTATATGCGTTGTTGCATGAAAGCCTATTTATAAACACGCTTTGGAAAACTTAATTTTTATTCCAACCAACCTAATGAAAGTCAGGGTAGTTGATATGGAGTAAAAGAACATCTCTGTTTTCACGCATTCGAGTAAAAACTCAAGGAAGCTTTTTTTTTTAATATTGAGGGACTGCTTTGTTACGTACATTGTACTATAAAAACACACTGCACCCTTCGACATTGCCAACAAATTTATTTTCACTGCATCGTTAACAGGAGGTGCACCTACAACTGCTTGATGAAGTGTCACTTACTTGGTACACAACACTGCATATGAGCTTGGTCACGCTTGTGCAAGATCTGCTGGACCTGAAGTCTTCGCTGAAATGTAAGTTCCCCTTTCTTGACCACTTCAGGTGCTTTGTGCACGGTTGTGTAGACAACTTGTCTTTGCTAGTTGTACCACTGGCTAAGAAAGTGCAAGATATATTGAGGTCTATATGAATTGAACCTCCTGTATATATAATGTGCCTTTATTTAACTTCATTTTGTGCTGTACTGCTGCATATGGTTGCTTTGCTGAATGCACTACCATGTTTGACTAGTCCTTTGATGTGCTGCTGTCCGCGAGCAACTTCAAATGTATACTATTTTTTTGCTCAATATGAATATAATCCGAGACAAGGTTGGATGACTGTAAAATCCAATTGGCAGTGGCCCCTTCAGATTTTTAATATGCTTCATCCCATTACATTCTCGTATTGCAGCAAAGTGGCCTTTCTGGCTCTGCTTTGGATGCAAAATAAATTGACTCAAAAAAACGCTGGTTCCAATATACATAAAAAAAGTTGGGCGGGAAGTTCGAAAGCCTCTAAGATATCAAAGTTTTCTGTATGTTGACATCAATGAAGCAGATCTGGGACTCCTAACTTGAAGGGAGCACACCACATCAATTGGGCTTCCACAAAAGTGGAATCAAGATAAGAGGCTGATGAAACGGCATCTTTGTGTTTCACATGTAAAGTGTTGTTAGAAGCACTTTGCTTTCACCAAATCATGTACACAATTGATTCTCTGTGTTGCCTCATCCTTGATAGGACAAGCCTAGCCAAAAGAAACACTTTTATGCTGCCATCTCATAAGAATAAGCTTAGCGATCCTCTCCAACCTTTTTCTTTCTGCAATTTCACTTTGGAAGTTTTCAAAACATATGCAAAAACATTCAAAAAAGATTTGATTCAATTTGCACTACAATATTTTTCTTTTGCACACAAAGTTTTGCCATTTGCACAGCTCTAGTAAATAGTGAAAGAAATTTTGCCGTTCTACATCCATAAACTATCCAGCCTCATCACTGATGAAAACACCATGAATTAGAGCGTATTAGCCAAGCAAGTGAGTGGCCTACTTGGATGAATATAGATACTTTTAGCTATAGCGGTCCATTTTGGGAATTACATTTTAGCCCTGCACTCAGCATGCTATGGGCTCTCTACCATCACTTGGCTATAAAGTGTGAAGCCATATATTGTTTCAAATGTCATATTTCCCATGCTGAAAGGGGCAGGTGGCTCTTCTTGCCACCGATTTTTTATCACTCATTTCACATGTAGATAGTGATATCATCCAAATAAGTTTTAACAGCACATTGGGAATACTAGTAGCAGCTAGACTTAGCCAGCGTGAATAGTTGTTAAGAATTGTCTGACAGCGCCACGTAATAAAAGGGCATTTTCTGCTCCTCCCTGGGAGCTGCCGTGTGTGTAAGAAAAGCACAACTATTTCTTCTTTGTAGGAGTCTGCTCCTATATATATATATATATATATATATATATATATATATTGTATTTACGTGATTATATAAGTTTACTCGAATGTAGGTCGACACCCCCAATAGCATGACTCCATAGTTAGAGTCAACACCTGTTCTGTCACCCACTTGTTTGGCCTGTCCCTGAAAAGAAGTGCTTGATTATTTTATTCCAAGTAGGAATGTATTATCGACTAGCCCAGTAAAGTGTTTTGCTGAGTCAAAACAAAAAAAAAAAAAAAACAATACGGTGTTTAAAGGTGGCTTCACGGCAGTGGTACACAGCTGTGCAGGGAAGCTAGTTCTGCAGCAACACATAGAAATTATTTTTTCAAAAATTTTCCGCGAATTGTTGCTAAGAGTGTAGGTTATACGCGATAAAATACAGTATATGTTAAAGGTTGAATCGGGACGCAAAAGTAATGTTGTAACCGTGCCACAACGTCCCTGATTTTTCATTTGCCCCACCGTAGCTGGTGCCGCTAATGTTTGCTTCAAATGTAAGTCCTTTCCCAAACCTTGGATTCCGAATTTGAAAAAAATAGGGGGTGGGGTGGGGGGGCTCCACCTAAAAGTGTGTAGATGTGGTAGTTTAATGTTGCATACATACAAATCATAATTGTGACTAGTGAAAATCAGTTATAATTCTTCTCATTTCTCACAGTTGATCGGAAAACGGTGGAAAATGTGCCAAGAAATGAAGAACCAACTCCCGAGAGCTTGACTTTCAACATCTGCTTGCAAGGCAGCAACAGTTTTGAGTTCCGTCTTTCAAAGGCTCACAGGTTATACACAGATACTGTTTATTTTTCATCAGTAAATATTCATTCAAAGCTTGTTGTTATTAGATTTACATACAGAGTGGTGCATCATGATTTCATGCTCAAACTCTGGAGGTGCTGTATGTGTTTAACCACCCATAGAACCACTCACCTTTGTAATGTATGTTAAAAGACTACTGAAATGTTCATTGATTTTCTTTGCATTACATACTGTGCTGTCACTAGTCCCATTATTAGGGAGGCGATCGCCGGGATTCCCCCCCCCCCCCCCCCGAAACGCACCACGACAGCACAAACAATTTAAAATTTATCCTTTTGGCGTGCCAGCGAATTCCGGCTGTGGTCCAAAGAACAAGGCAGAGCCGAGAGTTGATAACAAACAAAAATATATTCTCAGATAAGGCAGAACAAACAACACACAAACAAGCACACTTGGCAGTTATGAAATACAATACGATACCAATCACACGATACTCGAATACACTCAAAACAACGGGCACAAACAACAACACGCGCTACACTACAATATTATGCATCAACTAACCAAGCACACTTATGCACTTTAATGTCCGTCAAACGTGTTCAGTTCAAAGTTCTTGGAACACAGCTTGAATGCTTCTCTTCAAGGAAACACTCAGACTCCAGTGCCAGTTGTCTCGCTGCGTACTAAGTTTTTCTTCCAAGAAACTCTTGCGTTGTCAACGTACCACACTTCAATAACAAAACTTTGTTGGCAACACGTCGGCCACTCACGCTCTGCTACTGCAGAAAACGTCTTCGCCCACTGGCGGTAAACACACACTGATCTCCTGTTGGTAAAACAAACCTTCATCCGCAGGTGGAAAACATACTTCATCCTATCTCCTGACCGCCCCCCTCCGCTGCTTGCTTATATACGTTCACCCTGGGTTCTCGAAGTTTCGTCGGCACACCGCACAAGCCAAAGCTGGGGAAGGGGCGGGACGTTTCTCGAAATCTCCTCGACCTGTGACGCAACCAGGGAGTGACTCACCCCCTCACCCCATCTTTGATATTTCTAGAGATCGCTCGGTATCAGATAGATGTGAGGAGGTTGGTTGGGGTGGTGCCGGTGTTTTCGAAAGGAAGAAGAGGCACGCGCGTGGCGTCTTATGATATTTATTTCTTCTTTGTGCCGGCTTTTGTGGCGTCTGTCCGGTGCCTCCATTTCACGTAACCGTTAGAATCTTGAGGCATGCGCTTTCTTGAGCGCTCGTTTGTAACATCTGCATACTTGCTTTGGTAGAACAATATATATTTATTCAAGCTGACCATGCAAGTTTTAATAGAGAAGTTTACAATCTAATCTAACCAAAGTGGGAAAATCGTGCTCAATGAAATTGACTTGCTAATTATTACACTGAAGAGTTAGGGCACTATGGTTGTTATTAATACAGGGAATATCAGACATACTTATTGTACCTTAGTAGTGTCATTGTCATTACTTTTACTACTTGTGTGTAACAATTGACTAGTGCTTATGTTTAATTAATTTACTGGCTTGTTTTTCACTCTATAACAGAATCAAGTTTGTCATGTCAGACCTTCACATAAAGGCGAAGCCGGCACGAAAATCCATCCACACAGAAGCACTGCTGGTGTATTTTGATGAGCACCCTATATTTAAGCTACAGGTTGGTTCTTTCTTTGACCAAAGTTGTATAGGCTTCCATGAATGTGATTATGAATAAACTAAACAAAATTTTAGTTAGCCAATGCTTACATAATGAAACTAATACATCAATGTCATCTTTTCCTTAAATATTCAAGCCACTGTTTAAGCACAGCAGTTGGAGCATTGCTTTAGTCACGTTTAATTGACCTATTAATCAGAGTACCACATATTAATTGCATGTTAATTTCAGTGCCATATTGGGAACTTTTTTGATGATCATCTTGCAATCAACTACATGTTTTGGGCGTATTTTTCAAGTGACAAATTTATAATTGATCGGAACTGGCTAACCTTCCTGTCCTTCCATTTTCCTTCTCCTTATGACTGATGGTCTGTTAATCTTGGACAATAATACATGATGTTCTTTTTTTCGTTTTGTGCTGCTAACAGCAAGTGCAGTATGTTGCTGCTCCATCAGATGAAAAATCATCCATCAACCGCCACACAATAAAGGGACTGACCCAGCAGTACAACAAGCTGTGGTAAGGAGCAATCACAGCTTTAAGCTTAAATACCTAACTCAAACTTGCAATGAATGAGTGACCTGCATCTGATCATCTTTATGTAGACTTTGCAACGTAGTTCGCATAGGTAGTGTTCTTATTGATATTACCATATTTGCTGTTTGGCTCGAATGGCAAAAATAGTGAGATTAGTGTAACTGAAACAGAATTATGTAGAAAAACTTGAGTAACTGTTCCTCGGGTTTGTGTTTTACAGGACTCTTTCTATAGAGGAAATGAGAGTTGCTTTTCCTTACGACTACAACTTTGCGGAAGCCTGTAGTGAAGAGGTAATTGCTCTTTGTTTCTTGTCATTGGTTGTGGCATTATTGTTCAACGCAATTTTTTTTTCAGGCTGTCAACATCATCAAATGGTTAAAGCTCATCCACAAGAAGGGCAAGGTACCATTTACAGCTGACTCACCACTTCCTTCTGACTTCTCAATCAAGGCTAAGGTGAGGCTAAGCGAATTATTCACCATTTTATATGATAAACCAAAGGCTGACTGTGCTGCTGTAAAACTGTAAAAGAAAAGCGATTTGTTTCATTAGGTACTTGAATGGCACATTGTTTTATTGATATATCTGTGTGCGTTTGCTAGACACTGACGATAGAGCTTGGTGATGATCCATTTGAAGTGAAGCTCAGGAACAACTACGAGGTGAGATTATCCTTGCTCAGCCTTTAATGCTCATTTTTTTAGTTTTTATTGTTAAAGTCTGCCTTGTTGCCAAGATTCTAAAGTCTGATACATCTGCATTTACAGCTGCTTGAGGATGAGTATCACGAAAGCCTGAAGAGAAAGCGGATGCTTGATGAGAAGATTGAGAATTATCGTAAAACGCACCTCTTGCTGCCAGGTATGTCTGCAGATCCACTTGTATCACCATTGTCTATGTCTTACTGTGCTAGAATTCAGTAGCACAATGATGTTTGAGATTTCCATGCTTCGCCTTAGTAATGACTTAGTGCTTCTTCAAATATCTCGTGCAACCCATCGTTGCTGAGGGTTTTGAAGAGTGTAAGTTATGTGTACTGTGACATTCCATGTTTATTAGTAAACTAGAGACTAGAAATATTTCTATAGTAATGCTTGAAAGAAGTGCTTGCGCTATGGTGTCTGTGTTTTCAGGCTTTCTTATTTCTAGAGTAGTCTTATGTGCAGCTGGAATAGTGCTGTGAATTTCTTAACCTTTGTTCAACACTGCATTCTTTCAACCAGCATGAAGTAGAATGCGGAATTATCATCACGAGGCCAGAAATTAGATATGCATGCACGCATCACAAGTAATTGCTGCCTAAAACTCATTTTGTTCACTTATATACTCACAGCTGTGCAGATATTTGCTTGTACTGCAATGCAAAAACTTGATTTTGAGGGCTTTGCCAGATTAGTTTGTCTTCCTTTAGTAATGATATTCATGCAATTGCAAAATGTCATTCGCAAGCAGTTATTTAAGGCTCACATTTGTGAATGCTGCCTCTGTCACTGTTGGCAATGTTCAAGGCTCTGGCAGCACATCAAGTTGTCGTTCGTTATTTAGGGTACTGTGTATGCATATTAACATGGGAGATAAATGTTTTCCTACAGCTTCTAAGGTGAATGAACTCTACGCCGGCCTGAGGAAAAAGGATGCCGACATATACGTCCAGCGCTCCAAGCAGCTTGGACAGGGCACGTCGACACGCTCCCACCTTGTTCTCTGGCACTTTGACCAACTGGAGGTACTGGCCCTGGCAGACCCATCGTACCATGGCACGGAGGCTGTTGTGGAAGTTATGCGACGACTAGATCCAGAGAGGTGTGTGAGCTACCTGCGTTCAGAGTTGCCAAATGACATGCGTACAGTGCCCACCTGTGGCCATTCATTTGACGATACTTTCCTCATACATGTGCTGTACACATGTGCCTCTGCACGTGTGTCATTATCAAACTTACGATAAAACAGCAAGAACAGTGTCATGGTGATCAAACAAATAAGGGCATATTTCTTTGTATCTTCAGAATGTAAGGTCCTTTCGGATCCAAAGAAATGTCGCAGTGAGTCATCATGCCTTCTTCAATATTTTATTTAGAATTCTTCCATTGGCCAGTATGTGTGCTTGCATCTAGGAATGCACAAATAGTAAATTGTAGGTTCAAAGCGAGTTTGAAGTGAATAATAATTTGAATGAGTTATTTTTAATTCTATAATTCAAATAGTATACACTCAAACCTCATTATAACAAAGTTGCACCTTACTCAAAAATAACTTCATTATATCCGAAAATTTGTTATAAGAGTATATTCCTAACACTACAGCTATTGCAAGAGTATTATTATTTTACTTTGTTATAATCGATATTATGTTACATCTGGATTCGTTATATTGAGGCTTGAGTGTATGAAAGAAAATGGGCATATTTGTCATTTTCTGGTTTTGTCTTGGTGCTGTGGCATTTTTCCATTTCATTTACATCAGTTCAGCAGAGACTCCAGCAAATTGCTGTCAGTAGTGTATGCAATAGAATACTGTAATGCTTCACTGCTGTGTTTCATTACATATTCAGCTTAAAGTACAACCACTGAGATACAATTTTTTTCTTTCCGAAAGATCATGAGCATGCAGCTAACTGCGACTGTCAATTCACATGCATCAGCTACATTGTTTACTTTAGTTTTAGAATGGTGTATGTTGCATTCAGCAATCTGTTTTTTTTCTCTCACAGTGAACTCTCACTTAAGTGACCTTCAAGGGACCTAAGTAAATAGTTCACCTGACTGAAAGCTCTCTAAACTGAATATTCACTGGAGTACGAAACGTCTTTGGGCACAACATAAAGCAAGTCAAATGTGGGAAATGCTCTTTATCTTGAAAAGCATTCAGTAATTTTCATTCAGACTGGTGCCCTTAAAGTGTTAGAAGAGACAAAGCTATCCAAAGAGTCTACGTTTCTGATGGCCTCTGGCACAACTACTAGTTACTGTGACACGAAGTCTTGCAATATTTTAGTATATCATACAGCCTCGGCTGGAGATACAGGTTTTGAGCCTGCCCGAGCCCTTTCTACATCTTTGTTGCACTCATCTTCTTTCGGTTTCTGACAAACACTGGAAACAGTTTCCAAATCTGATATCTCTGCACAGGTACTGAAGCGCACGTGCCTCATTCTTATCTCCTGCATGCCCGCTTTGCCTCAAAGGCATCTACAAGCAGTGTTGCAGCGACACCGATGTATGTACGATATGGTGGCAGCATGTTATGCCAGTGCTGCAGAGACAAAAACTTATTGAGTTGATCTGAAAAATGAGATCGGGTTTGCGCAAGTTCGTTTAAATGAAAGATTTTTTGCATATAATGGAAAGCAGCAAAGATTTTCTAAACACTTCTTATTCCGAAATATTCATTAGACCAACATTCATACAAGCGGGAGGTCTTTCATTCTTGCACTTTGAATGAGGGGTATTCTGGCATCTGTAATAGCATTTGCTGATTTTTTGTTCTTTCCTGCTTTCTTTTCTGATGTTCGTGCTATGAAACAACCATCAATATTTGTTTCTTTTTCTCTGCTTGCCAATAGCCCCTACCCAGAGGAAGGGATGCAATTCTCGACCTTGTGGTGTCGCCGAGTGACGGGCAGCATCAAATCTGTCACCTGCCAGCTGCGGGACTTCCCACAATTCATGGTGGACTGGCGGGAATTCCAAGTCTGGGGCACCCTGGCTGGTGCTGAGCAGGAGGCACCACCACGAGGTATCACCCAAATATTCCTTACTTTGCTTGAGATTATTGTCAACAATGCTCAAAGTTTTGAAAAACCAGGTTTGCCCCTAGGCAAATTAAGTCGTGGGGAAAGCTAAGATATTGAAGTTTTGTGAAGAATGAAGACATAACGTACATGTGCACTTGTACATTCAAACCTGCAAAGTGGGGGCACAATAGAATACAACAAAGCATAAGGGATGGAGTGGGCGGGTAGACTAGTACAACTAGAGTAAGAGTGTAACCAGTGGTTTAGGTTAAATGGCTAAGGTGAGTGCATGTCCAGTGGCATTGAATAAGTAAAGGCAGCTGCTTTGTTGTATATGCAAATATGAACATTCATGTTGCACATTGTAATTTTGTCAGAGCGTCCCAATGTAGAACAATAGGAATGACTCTTTTGTCCACTTCACACCTTTATTAACTTTTGTTACTTCATATTGCATCGATTTGCTGCCTCATTCTACGAAAATCAAGGAACCTTTGCAGCTGTCTTGTGTTTTTGTGAGAACATGTTCCTTTAGTTGTTGTTTCCACTTTCATTTGTAAACTCAGTGTCAAGGTAAAAGAATGCATTGTTGGTATATAAATTGTGCCACAAAAAACGTTTGTTGCTCATTCGAATTGTTCTGAATTCGTATTCACAAGACCCCTTACAGTTAGATTAATGGCATTATTGATCAATAAAAGGTGCATCATTCACAAATAAAGGCACATGGTGCCTCAAGTCATCTACGCTTAACTGTTCGCTGCCTAGGCTAGCAGTTTGTTAAGAGTTGTATTCTTGTGTGTGCTGATGTATAGCAAACCCACTCCTGCGATAGCCCAATTCGGGCTGCAGTATGTAAAAATAAATGAATAAATTAATTAAGCTATTCTGTGACTGATAGGACAGAATGGTACGGTCAGCGTCCCTGTTTGTGACATAGCACTCTTTTTACATATATCTTTACTTTATTTTTTAGGCTGTTCACTGCTATTGAGTCTTTTCATGCCAAATGTCAAATGCACTTGCAGCAAAACGAAGCTCGACTGTTGAAGTAGGTACACCTTGGGGGAACATGACCGTGCAGAGGAGCATGCCGTCCCTCAAGTTCTATCACGACTTGACCTGGGGTGAGTAATAGGAAAACTATGCCTTTAGTACAGCTGTGTGTTTAGATATGTAAGTGGGTGCCCCCCCCCCCTTTTTTTTTTCATAAAAACTGTCTACAATCCTTTGTGCCAAAGCAAAAGTGCACTTCTGACTTTGTGAAGTATTGAGTGTGTCCAAACTCTTTAGCACATGTGCATATCACTTGCTTCAAGTGAATGAAGGCGTTTCTTCATAAAATATTTCTGGGATCGAGACTGATTCATTGGATAGCATAAAGCAGTCGTTCTCCACCCAGTCGTTATTTTTAGATCATCAAACAATTGTATTTGTTGTACATCAACTTTTCAAACAACGACATGTACTGTGTTACCTTCAGATCATTCTATTGAAACAAGAAACCGACACTCTCACAGCAAAAGTGTTGAAATGCAGCTCAATGTTGACCATTCTTACTTGACTGCTGTGCTTGGCATCATATCCAGTTGCCATTATCTGGTATTTAAGATTTTATGTTGACCCCTTAATTTCCCAACAAATTTTTGTTTACTTAATTTAGAGTTGGTTGTTGACTTGCCGGGGATGTTCTTTGTGCTGTAAAAACAAACAAGTGAATACTGACGATTCCAATTTGCCATGACCCTGTTCGTCACTGTATGTTGCATGCAGACCTGGGTTACCTGGGCATGACGTATGGAGCCTGCTGGGAGCCCATTGTGTCTCAAGTCAGCCTGTGCCTGGAGAAAGTGAGCCGCCCGTCAGCTGACCCGAGTCCAGTCCTTGCCTGGTGGGACAAGGCACGTCTCTTGCTTCATGGACGCCTGACTGTCTCTGCGAGACACCTGGCTCTCTTCCAGCACGTGTCTCTGGACCCATACAATGATACAGAACTCTTTCAAGTGTCCTGGAGTGACGCTATTGTGGATTGGACGAACGGTATGGAACATTAAATAGAAAGGCTTAACTTTTTGTACAAGCGTTGACAGAAAACTGATGTGCAATCTCTCTGTGTGTGGAGACGATAACTTGTCTTGTAGTTGGAGGAACATAATGGCAGTGAAGATAGCGCTATTTTTGGCTGCAAGAATTTGCTTGTGCATTCAACCAATGCCTTGTCGAAAAGCCGAGTTGGAAGAATACTCTGCTCTGTGAATAGTTTTATCTGTTACTGTTGCATGATGAGCATCACCAGCTAAAAGATAGCAGAAAAAGTCACATGACCACCTACTTGCCTCGTGGATCAAGGCTTGTGAGCTATGCGTTCACTTCACCTTTACAGCGTTCATGTGATGTAAAATAATGAACTGCATACCTCATGGCTTGAGGTGTACATTGACTTCAACTTTGCAGCTTTTGCTTGCAAAAAGATTAAAAAGTATAATTTGTACTATATAAATGGCACATTAAGGTGATTACATCTGATGGTTTTTGCCTCAAGTCATCTGAGGCAATTGCATAAGGGACCCTGTGAGTTCTTAAAATTCTGTTTATATATTTCAAAAAACAGAGGCACCTGGTTGATAAAATTTTCTGTATCAATCACAACAGTCAATACTGCCCCTCATTTTATGAACAGCTGAAGAATAATAGTTTTTCTTTTTTATATTTCCTAGGCAAGATTGTGATGAAAGGAAACTTGGGCATGTATGTGCACACAGCCTCTAGGTACAATGACAGCCGTTTGGTGCACATTCCAAACCTCAAAATAAGGTGAGTGTCAGCAACTCCAACGGTCGAAAATGCATTGAATGGGAAGTGATGGGCGAGTCATTGAGCCACAATATGAACAAAACAGTGCACTTGAAAACAAGACCATTTGTTCTCATGAAAAATTCTGCAGCCAAGTGCCCGTGTGTGTCCCTATCTTCTATGCTGCTTTATTGATGACGGAATCGAATTTCATATAATTATTGTTTGTTTGCAACTGCAGTAAAAAGAAGCTACGCTAGTTTGTGAACATGGGCTGTGTGTGATTGTGGTTGCTTATGCTTGTTTTTAGCATCAAGATGAATTGGCTTTGTGTGGGCAACCCATTTGACCACCATAGCATCACACCTTGTGCTCCTGACAAGATACCAGAGTACTCAAGCAACCAGGTAAATGATTTTTCTCATTTCTTGGTGCCATTAAGCAGTTTTGAAACCAATTTATGACTGAAACTATTTAGCTATTAGTTTAATTTATGTACGGTTACTTGCCATCTATACTGACTGCAGTGATGCCAAAAAAGGGAGCTTACAACACCAGTTAATCTAAGAGATGATGATTCTTTGAATGCCTTTGCTGCCTTCATACTGGCAACTGTGCATCTTACTGTTAAAAATAGCTGAGCTGTTATTATTAGTTTTACTATTGCAAGTGCTTAGAGTGAGTTACAGATCTGAAGAATAATTAAAAGATGCTGCATATCGCAATTGACATAATACCAATATACACTTTGTTATGCACTTTATGCTGATACACCCTCCTTAAGTAATTCCCTGCACAGGCACTGTAGGTATCATAAGTAATAACTCGTAGAGCAGTGTCACTGCCGTCTCTTTTGATTACACTGCAGTCACTTCCCTTTCCGTAGAATAAGCATATGACACATTAATGACCCAACCATCGTCAAGTTGTAGACCCTGTGAACTAGTATATGGAATGTCAGCAAAAGCAGTTTATTTTCTTTTTCACCTCTATTAGGTCTAAAATTGGTGTCTACTTCTTCTCTCATTTTTACTTGACTGACATTTTTTCATATAATTTTTCTCTGGTATATCTGTTTATTATTTGTCCTCACACTTAAGCAGTTACAGTAAGCAAGTTGGTGACGTAAGTAAAGCAAATCACAAGTAAGTACAGGTGTGCAAGTAAGTAAATATTATTAATAAAAAATGCATGGTAATTTGTGATGTGTTGCATTTACAGTTCCACTAATACAATTGTTGAAGTGTCAGATGATTTTATTGTAAATGCAGAATTAATGCTGGAAGTTTTTTTACCCAACCAGTGCCAGTATTTATACTTTTGCATACCCTGCCTCGACATTTTTACTTTCCTATGCACCTTTACCTCAAGCTTTGTTTAAAATCAATGTTATAATACTGGTACCAAGGGATATGAAAATATCTTCATTGGTGTTGAATAATCTTTGGCATGGTGACAGAATGTCTGCTTCAACTTTGCAGGAACATGACAGCTATCGGGCATTTCGATCTCAGAACTTGAACCTCTCAGTTTCCCTGGAGACAAAGTCAGTAGCGTTGGAAACAGCAGATTCCATACCAACATTGCTAGTCTTTAGTTCAACCTTGAAGTGGCTGGAAGGACTAAAGGTCAGTCGATTATCACATCATTGGCAAGATGATGGCTTCTGTCAGTGTAGAACCATGACAAAGTATACTATATATTTGGTTTGTTTGCCTATGTGCTGTTAGTTTAATCTCTGTTTCCGTGCCTTTTCAACATTGCAAGTAAGTCCAAAAGCAGAAACGGGAGGAATTGAACTGTCGATACAGTTATTAGGCCAGTAGTACTAAGATTACTATATCGAAATACCATTACCAAGAGCCTTTAATATTTAACTTGGACAGTCGACTCTTATTAATTCAAACTTGAAGGGACCTCTGAATTTTGTTTGAATTATCAAGAAGTTTGAATTATCAGAAGTTCTCAGATATATGAGTGTGGGTAAGGTGGCACCAAACATTACGATTAGGCATTGATTTCATCAAATTTAAAAGTTATTAAGCCTTTTTAACTGCACGCAACGAACAAAAAGTGGAAGTGCAAGGTCTATAAGTTTATTGGCCATGTACTGCTGATCAGACCTCTTAAAGAAATTGTGAATTGCCAACTGCTTCTTTGCTATATGTGCCTTCAGCACAAAGCTCTCTATATACCAGGTGAAGAGCATCATGGTTTACCACAAGTGTGCTTCGTTTCAAGCATTTGTTTTCTAGTAAAGCACTTTTCCTTGAAGGCCTGAGACCCTTATTTTTTATTTTTAGACAGTTAGGACCTTTACCTATTTTAGACTGTTAGGACCTTTACATATAAGCACCCAAATTTTTAAATAGTAGTGCGAAAGCGGCAGATATTTTCTGGTATGGATCCACAAAAGGTATGAATTAATGGAGTGATGGAGTATGAATTAAGAGGCTTTCAAATACATATAAAGAACAGGGGGCCAGCCAAAAAATTTAATTTTGTTTGAATTAACTGAAAGTATGGATTATCAGAGTTTGAATTATCGCGAGTCTACTGTATATCAACACTTGAATGTCTTTCTCCATGTAATGAATATGTGTCCTTTATTAGTAGTTAACATAGTCTCCTGTAGGAGTGCGAACAGTATGCATGGCACTTTATTCTGGCGTTTACTCTCAGCAAACAGAAATCTTTTAAACGGAACTACTGCTTAAACGGAACTATTGCCTCTGCAATGCTTGGTTTCGGGCTTGTATCCTGCACCCATGTCCACCTCTCAGTAAACGAAACTGCTGTTAAATAGAACATATTTTCCCGGTTTCTTCAGGTTCCGTTTACTGAAAGCCTACTGTACTATCTGCAGTCATTGTGGAAGAGCTACCACCTGCTTTGCATGTTCATGAGGAAACCCTCCTTCACTTTTGCTGTCCTAATGCCTCTTCAATTGAGAACAGGATCATATAAAGTCACCAACTATATTGTTCAGTTTCATGCACTGTGTGCAACATGGACAATTAATGTAAGCGACATTGCATCCCCAAGCAGGAGTGAAGCTTAATCTTCGCACCATGTTTTTTTCTTGTATGCAAGCGCATCTGATGCATGATGCTTTTGACCATGCAAATTTGTCAACAGGCTGCTTATGTTACTTTGTCACAATGCTGCTGCACTTTTCCTACACTTAAGTCGGCAGTGCAGCAAGAAATGTCATTGTTTTCAGCGTGTGTCTATTTTCAGACAAGTGCTGCCTCACTAAACCATAGTGCCGCGTAGTTGTGATGTAGAAGGCTTCAGTCGCCTGATGATCGAGAGGTTGAACTCTTTATTGGGCATACTTGGTGGCCAGCAAAGTAATGTAAAAGGATAGTGGTGAGTGAATACTTGTAGGTTATTGAGTATGTTTGTGCCCCTTGGACGAAATGCATTGGCTCTCGTATGTGTATCATTGGTTGTACATTCCAATATAATCACTGGGGCTTACAAAAGTTCTAAAATGTACAAAGCCATAGGCGTGGGCATGGAGGGGGAGCAGGGGGGCGACTGTCCTCCTCTTGTCACCTATGAGGGGGGTGGCGCAAAGTCTGCCCCATTCATTAAAATAATGTGAAAGGGGGAGGGCACTGTGATAAACGTTTGCCCACTTTCCTCCTGAAGGAAAACCCTGCACACACATTTGTACACAGCTATTCATGTTTCCTGGGCATTCCGATTGTAACCGTCAATGACATTCCGGTCACTTCTGATTCATCAAGGCATGACTTGGGCCAAGCAACAGCACTTCGAACAGCTTTAGCCTGTGAAATCGAGTCTGCATGAAAAAGGAAAAGTGCATGTTAACGTTTACAATATTTGCTAATATTGACTTCCAATGCTTTTTTTTTACTCATCATGTACAGGCCATCATAGGTGGCCTGCCCAAGCTGACACGGCGAGGTGCACTGTTTGGCAATGTGAAACCACGTAAGAGCCAGCTGACGAGGCACGTACGTCAGTTACAGCTCTCGCTTGCCCTGCACAAGTTCCAAGTGTGCTACTGGACTTCACTAGCCCGGCAGCATGGCTTCGAACTGCTGGCCGGTCGCATCCAGCTCAGTTCGGAGCACAGCCTCCTGTTAGACACACTGCGTGATGGTCTTCTACACAGGTGGGCTTTTCATCTTCTCTCCTTCACTGTGTAATAATTATGGTTGCTAGCATTAAATTGTTTCTTCCATGAAAACCAGGTCATGTGTGTTCTAAGTGTCGTGCACAAGCTAAGACCCTTGTGCTAGCAAATTATATTGATGTCGTTACACTTCTTCAACTCTTAAACTGCTTGGCCCATTTTTTGAGGTTAACTGCAAATTTTTGCTCTCGCTAGGCAAGCTATTTAGTGGTAAGCAGTGTGTTTTTGTGTGTATAAAAGCTTACAGGAATGCTAGAGAAAAACACTTCTTGCAACGTGATCTCCTCCAAACTTCTCTACCGCTCAAAAGTATATAAACTAAACATGCTGGTTGCTTGAATCTACCAATCTGATACAGGGTAGTGCATGACTGAGCTGTTAAAGTTATAAATGTATTATAGTGGGAAATTGTGAGTGAGCTGCTACAATAACCCAGAAGTTCAGCAGAATATGGAGACTTGAACTTATAAGATATCCTTGGACAACTAATGTCACCGAAGCCAATGTACCAGCAAGAGAAGTTGTCTTTTTCAAGGCAGCCACTGTCGCCACTAGTGGCATTTTTATAAATGCCTTGCTCTCTGTACATCATCCTTAAATTTGGAAGGAGGTCAACAGCAGGTGCACAAGCTTGGTCTCGTTCTTGTCCTCGTCATCTGCTTTGTTTGCTGTCTACTTTTTTGCACTTCAGTTGTAACAATACATACTGCCCACAATTAATGATTGGAACAACACACTGTATCATTTGTTTGCACACTTGTATTGCATATTGTAGGTTACTTAAAAATGCACGCTAAAAACTTTATAGTTCAACTAACAAGATTGTTTTACTTTTTGATTGTGTTTTATTTACCCTGCATGGACCTTGTGTCTGCAATATGTATTGAATAAATTGTTATGGCGTTTATTAGCAGGCACACAGCGAGTATAGACAATGGCGACAGTAACGGCCAAGCACGGACTCCCAGCGCGAGCGGCGTCCTTTTTTGGGTAGACCCACTAGAGAACACTTGAGAGTTTGACCCACTTCAGTGTTCGGCGGCTTCTCTACAATCACCCCGGGGTCGAAGAGGGAGCCGCCTGGCGACCTAGCAGCTTGTCACTACGAGTGGGTCATAGTAAGCCTTCAGGCGCTCCACGTTGACTATGTCGCGCCCGCGGCGGCGCATGTCCGAAGATTGTTCAATTGGCTCGATAAGATAGTTGACCGGAGATGTGCGCTCGATCACACGGTAGGGACCTTCATATTTCGGGAGTAGTTTGGAAGAAAGGCCAGCTACAGAGGTCGGGATTGAGAGCCATACAAGGGAACCAGGAAGGAACGTGGGTTCAGAAGTGGCGGAGCCATCACGAATACTCTTCTGCTGCTCTTGCTCATGCGTCGTAAATGTCTTGGCCAGCTCGCGACACTCTTCAGCAAGCCTGGCTGTCTCGGAAATAGGTGCACACTCAGATGGATCCGGCGTGTACGGGAGTATAGTGTCGATGGTGTATGACGGGTGCCTTCCGTACAGCAAGAAGAAAGGTGAAAAACCGGTCGTGCTCTGAGGGGCGGTGTTGTAGGCGTAGGTGACGAAGGGCAGTATAGTATCCCAATTCGTATGGTTGGCGGCGACGTACATCGAAAGCATGTCGCCGAGGGTGCGGTTAAAGCGTTCGGTCAGGCCATTCGTCTGCGGGTGGTAAGCAGTTGTTTTGCGGTGGACAGAATGGCACTCCATGAGAATGGCTTCGACGACTTCTGACAAGAAGACACGGCCTCGATCGCTGAGAAGCTCCTGAGGTGGACCATGGCGCAGTATAAATCGGTGCAGTAGGAAGGACGCAACATCACGCGCAGTAGCCGCAGGGATAGCGGCGGTTTCGGCGTATCGCGTTAAATGATCTACGGCGACGATGGCCCAGCGGTTACCAGCCGACGTCAGAGGGAGTGGTCCATACAAATCGATACCTATGCGCCCAAACGGACGCTCAGGGCAAGGTAACGGTTGCAGGCTGGCTGGCGACATGTGTGCTGACGGTTTGCGGCGTTGGCAAGCGAGGCAGGAGCGAACGAACTGCTGCATGTAGCGGTACATCCCGCGCCAGAAGTAGCGTTGTCGAATGCGACGGTAGGTTTTGAATACCCCAGAGTGCGCGCATTGCGGATCAGAGTGGAAGGATTCACAGATCTCTGACCGCAGACTGCGGGGTATCACGAGTAACCACTGCCGGCCATCGGCGTCGTAATTGCGTCGGTGTAGAAGGCCGTCACGGATGGCGAAATGGCGAGCTTGACGACGCAAGGCACGCGTGGATGGCGTTGCGGATGGATCAGCGAGCAAGTCGATGAGCGGGCCGATCGAATTATCCTTTCGCTGTTCGGTAGCGATGATGTCAACATCAATGGCAGAAACTGCAGTCGAGGATACTGAGCAGAGCACATCACCTTCAGGCAGAGGGGAGCGCGAGAGGGCGTCGGCGTCAGCATGCTGGCGTCCGTTGCGGTGAAGCACGCGGATGTCGTAGTCTTGTAAGCGAAGAGCCCAACGGGCGAGACGGCCTGAGGGATCCTTCAATGATGAAAGCCAGCATAGTGCATGATGGTCGGTGACGACATCGAATGGGCGACCATACAAATAAGGTCGAAACTTTGTAAGGGCCCAGACGATCGCCAGGCACTCTTTCTCCGTGACGGTGTAGTTTGTCTCGGCTCTCGTGAGCGTACGGCTTGCATATGCTACGACATATTCAGGGAATCCGGGTTTGCGCTGCGCCAGGACAGCGCCGAGGCCTACACCACTGGCGTCTGTGTGCACCTCCGTCGGGGCCGTAGGGTCGTAGTGGCGTAGAATGGGAGGAGACGTCAGCAAATGGCGGAGCTTCGCGAACGCGTCGTCGCACTCAGACGACCACGAATTGAGGGGCCCGTTACTTCCAAGGAGCTTCGTCAGCGATGATATAATCGTAGCAAAGTTTCGTATGAAGCGTCGGAAGTATGAGCACAGGCCAACGAAACTACGCAGTTCTTTGACGGATGCAGGTTTGGGGAATTCAGCCACGGCCCGAAGCTTGGCTGGGTCAGGAAGAATGCCATCCTTAGACACGACGTACCCTAGGATGGTGAGTTGCCGTGCTGCAAAGCGGCACTTCTGCAGATTTAGTTGCAAGCCGGCATTGCTCACACGTGCGAAAACTTCTTTCAGACGTTGGAGATGCGTGGAGAAATCTGGGGCGAACACAACAACGTCATCGAGGTAACACAAGCACGTGTGCCATTTCAAGTTGCGCAGAACGGTGTCCATCATGCGCTCAAAGGTCGCAGGAGCATTACATAGACCAAATGGCATGACGTTGAATTCGTACAAGCCGTCGGGTGTGATGAACGCAGTCTTCGGTCGAGCGTCATCAGCCATGGGTACTTGCCAGTACCCCGAGCGCAGATCGAGAGAAGAAAAAAATTCGGCTCCGTGAAGGCTGTCAATTGCGTCATCGATGCGCGGCAGTGGGTAAACATCCTTGCGCGTGATCTTAATGAGCCGTCTGTAGTCCACACAGAACCGCACAGAACCATCTTTCTTCGCGACAAGAACAACAGGAGACGCCCAGGGACTGTCCGAGGGCCGAATAACGTCGCGTCTGAGCATATCATCAACCTGCTCGTTAATTTCCCGACGTTCAGCAGGCGACACGCGGTAGGGACGTTGCCGTAATGGCGGATGGGCACCAGTGTCGATACGATGTGTAACAGCGGACACGCGACCGAGAGAACTTCGCCCGACATCGAAAGAAGAATGATATTCTCGCAGCAGGTCCAGAAGCTGGGAACGCTGTACCGACGTAAGATTGTCATCAATGTAGGGGCCAAATACATCAGGAGATGATGAATCATAAGTGGAAACAGCGCTGACGGTACACGAACTGGGACAACGCGAGTCATCAGGTACGTCCAGGACTTGTGCGTTATCCACTGGTTCCACTCTGCCGAGACATTCCCCTCGAACCAAGGTAACAGTGTACGGGGATGGGTTGGTCACAAAAATAGCGGCGTTGCTCTGGGTGATTTGCACGGTCGCGAAAGGTACTAGCAACCCTTTCCTTCGGCAAGCACGGTCGGATGGCGAAACGAGCGCAATTGTGTCGGAGAGTCCAGCGCAGTAGACAGGTACACCCATCGCCGAGCTTGGAGGCACTAAGGTGTCGTCTTTCACGAGAATCTTACTCAGTTTTGAGGGACTGTCTTCCGGCGTCAAATGCGAGAAGGGTGAGAGTTCAATTTCGGCATTGGCACAATGGATGACGGCGTCATTGCGGGAAAGAAAATCCCACCCCAGGATGACGTCATGAGAGCATGCAGGAATGATGATGAATTGGCCGACATACAGAACGTCCTGAACGACAACGCGAGCTGTGCACTCTGCTGAAGGATGGATACGATGTGAACCGGCAGTACGAAGGGACAACCCAGAAATCGGCGTCGTTACTTTTCGAAGCAAACGGCAAAAGTTTTCGTCCATAACGGATACTGCAGCTCCAGTGTCAATAAGAGCAGACGCATGAACACCGTCCACAAGCACGTCGATGACATTAGATGGGCGGCTCTGAGGGCTTTCACATCGCAATAGCATCGCAGTCCTTGCCTCGGGGACTGCGACGACTAGTTTTCCCGCTCATGAGTAGCCGAACTTGGCCTCATGGGGGACAGGGAACGACGTCGTGGAGACGGCGACCTTCGAGGAGATGGACCTGGGCGAGACGGCGGTGGCATAGACGGTGGTTCGTCGTGATAGGGACGGCTGAGGTGGCCAGCACTAGGCGAAGAAATTCGAGCCGGCTGTACACGATGGCAATAACGGGCTACGTGACCAGCGTAACCACAGGCAAAGCAGATGGGCCGGTTGTCGGGTGTGCGCCATCGGTTCGCTGGGGTAGGTCTTGTCCATGACGCAAGAGCCGATGGACGGAACGGTGGCTGGAAAGGCTGCAGGGGGTGCTGGAGCTGAGTCTGAGAGGTCACGTCAACATACGTAGCCGGCATAGCCGCTGCAAAGGATGGAGGTCGTGCGGCAGCTTCGGCGTAAGTCAGTGGGGCGGGCGGTTGAACGACTGGAGGCGGCCTGGCGACCACTTGGGCGTAACTTGGGGGCGCAGGGGCCGGAAGCTGTTGTGGTTGGTACGCAGGCATGACCTCCGCTATTTCCTGCTCAATTGCTCGGCGGATGGGTGGAAGAATAGTAGTGGCCGATTGTTGAGCAGCCGGTGGGTGGGCAAAGTGCAGGAGAGAGAACTGCCGCGCGATTTCCTCACGTATGAAGGACTTGAGGTCTGCCAGCAGTGCCACCTGATCACAGCTCGCCTCCAAGCCTGCAAGCCCTGCATCTCGTGGTGTGGAGCGACGGGTCATCGAACGCTGCCGGCGGAGCTCCTCATAGCTCTGGCACAGCGTGATGACCTCAGCTACTGTGCCTGGGTTTTTGGCAAGCAGCATCGTGAAGGCATCATCGTCAATGCCCTTCATGACGTTCCGGATCTTGTCTGATTCGGACATGCTGTCGTTGGATTTTTTTGCACAGGTCCAGGACATCTTCTATGTAACTGGTGAATGACTCACCGGCCTGCTGAGCGCGTTCGCGTAAGCGCTGCTCGGCTTGCAGCTTACGAACGGCAGGGCGGCCAAAAACGTTGGTGATAGCGGTCTTGAAATTGGACCAGGTTGCGATATCGGACGCGTGGTTGTTGTACCACAAGCTCGCAACGCCCGCAAGGTAGAACACCAAGTTTGTCAACTTGCCGTCCTCGTCCCATTTGTTGGGGACGCTCACGCGCTCGTAAATAGCGAGCCAGTCCTCCACGTCAGTGCCATCGGCGCCCGTGAAGATGGGTGGATCTCGGATCCTGGGGACACCGGGACAAGGGGGTGGCATGGGAGGAGGCGTTTGCTGAGAGGCGTCGTGGGACATGGTAGATTGCAGGGTACGTGAGCGCAGTTCCCAGGGCATCAAAGGGGATCGTAGCACTCTCCACCAATTTGTTATGGCGTTTATTAGCAGGCACACAGCGAGTATAGACAATGGCGACAGTAACGGCCAAGCACGGACTCCCAGCGCGAGCGGCGTCCTTTTTTGGGTAGACCCACTAGAGAACACTTGAGAGTTTGACCCACTTCAGTGTTCGGCGGCTTCTCTACAAAATAAATAATAAACAAATACGGAATACCAACTAGCCCGCTCCTACACCTTGCTCTCGTCCTTTCTCTCTCTTTTTTTTTTTGTCAAAATAGATTTGCTGATTCGTGTGTCATTTGCGCTATTGCCGATAGCATAAAATAAACTTGAGCGTCTTCTGTGTTCTGTCACTTACAATGTGTGACCACTCTTTGGCATGTACCCTCTTTTTCTCTTCTGCTGCCTCCTCTGCAATTGCAGCTATCCGTCTCACAATCCAAGGTATGACTTGCTGCCTCCGTTTGATGTATAGGTTCTACGTTAAAGCCGATGCTGAGTAATATTGTATGATAACCTTGTATTGTGTTATAGTAGTATGTATTACACTTCATTTGCTTCTCCTCTAGAATTTCATTAATTTTATCACATCATAGCACGCATTTTCAAAAAATTGTTGTTGACATTTGTGTGATCAATGGTTTTCTGTGACTATTTAGAGTTGCAGTCAACCTGCATACGAGTTATATCAACAAGATCATCAGTTTGACAGTGACTTTGTACTTGAAAAATTTTTGGTACTTAACCAAATAGTATTTTGGGCTTTCTTATAAGGGTGTTTTGAAGCTAAAAAATATCTACATTGCTTAGCTTTTGCATCTACTTGCGTATGCGTGTGACACACTGTCATACGTTCAGCATGTTGCAACTGGTCAACGAGCATTCATTCTATGATCTCACTAGCAAAATCTTCCAGTTTTAATGAATATGTACAGTGTCTAGTTGTACAACACACCAAGTTTTCATTTGCACGAGCACAATGGGCATATAAAATACGAATTCAGGCCAGTCGCTTCTTCCGTGTTTTTCGACCAGCATGGGATAAGGGACAATGCATGAGGAAAGAAACTAATGGGGACAGGCATGATGTCAGCAGCTGCATTATTAGTGTTCTAATTTTGTATGTGGTCAGCAGCTGCACTCTTCATTATTTTTATTTTGTGTGTTGTCTACTACTGAAAGCTTGTTGTCAGATGTAATTGGCATAGGGGAAAATGAGGAATTGTGCTTTTATATTTTATATGTGCACAAGACATTGGCAAGGCTTCCTTTGATTTATTTTTATTTATTTTATTTTATTTTATTTGCAACATTTTTTTTAACAAGTTCGTGTCCCTTAGACGGAAAGTGGTTAAACAACCACTTAAGAATGCCTTATGGCCTTATGGCAGTTTTTCGCTGCCATGTATGTGGCAACGACAAACTGGGCAGGTTTCCTGAACATTTTAAGATGTTCTCATTAAGCATGTAAGCTAAGCTAAAAAGTTAACCAATAGGAATCTTTTCTACTACTGCACTTGTTTCAGTTGAACTTTACTTATTTTAAATTTGTGGAATTTTTCACACGTAGTTTTCACTAGTTCAGTTCTGCTAACTTTCCTGGTACTGCAAGCCTTTTTTTTGTCTGCCTTTTGCAACTGTCCTTGCTATATCATCCTAGTGGCCTTATTCTAAAATGTTCCTCCACACAACACTTCACCTTCACTAGAGGAAGCCTATGGCAGCATTATCCCTTGACAGAAGTAACCAATGCACCTCTTGGATACACCACAACAGTCCTTAAAGGGTCTATTATAATGGCTTTTTAATCCTAAGTGGCTGTTTTAATGAAAGGATGGTAAGGGGATGGTGGAGTGGAGAAAGAGCTTGTAGGCAAGGATCGTCTGTGGTGTTTCATATTGTGCAGCGTTTTTGCACTATCGACAGCAATGGATCATGTGGCTTGCCCATGTGGTAAAATATGGTGGAATGCTGCGACTGCAGGCCTCGTGCCAGCTGGTCTGTGTCGTACATGAATTGCGAGCTGGGCGACAGTGAAGTTTGGCTCTACAATGCAAGCACCGAAGCGGCTGCAAGCGAGCCGTCATCAGGTGCGGCAGATTCAGGGGCAGAACTCTCGGGTGGCTCGACTCCTGTAGATGGAGATTCCGGCCAGAGACCTCTGCCACATTCTCCATTGCCTCCACAGCGCAAGTGAGTTTTGTACATGTGAAGTTTAAGTAGGAAGTATTTGCAGGAATCTATGCAAGTGCTCCTTCATTTGGTCATAGCTTCGTTACAAAGCAGGAGCTTTATTTGAGTAAACAAACCATGCCGTTGAAACAATGCACGTATTCTCTGAAAAAGAGGAGGAAGAACATTATTAATTTAAAAAGCTCATTGAGTTTGAAATGGTTGTTTAGCTTCGTTTCATCACAAGCATGCACCATTGCTTGTAGTTGGTCATTTATGAGTAATACCTTTAAAAGTTAAGTAGCACTGCTTTTTAATTCTTCATAATATTGTTCAATTTACCTGTCGAACCATATTACTATGTTATATTTAGTTTAGTGGAGAGGTAACTAATTTCGTAATTATGTTGCCTTAAAGCCCCGCCGCGGTGGTCTAGTGGCCAAGGTACTCGGCTGCTGACCCACAGGTCGTGGGATCGAGTTCCAGCTGCAGCAGCTGCATTTTCAATGGAGGCGAAAATGCTGTAGGCTTGTGTGCTCAGATTTGGGTGCACATTAAAGAACCCCAGGTTGTCGAAATTCCCGGAGCCCTCCACTACGGCTTCTCTCATAATCATTTGGTGGTTTTGGGACATTAAACCCCACATATCAATCAATCTATGTTGCCTTAAAACTAAATTGATGGCATTTTGTAATAATGACATTCATTTTAGTTTATGAGGTTGCCTCATTGATATCGATGTCCGAGTTAGCCATTGGCTGGTAGCTGCTTATTGAAAGCTGAAACATGTCTTGTGCCTCATTTTGGTCTACTGAACACGAGCTAGCTCAGTGTTTTAATTGTTGCTAATGCGCAGCTTTGGGCCTTTCTTAGGACAGCAGCAGAGCTGATGTACGTCGTACCTTAATGACCTGTCCAGGTACTTCCTGAGTGTGGCCAGAGTGTCCTATGGACGAGAGACCAAGGTACTGCGGGGCAGTGTTTCAACCACACCGGAGGAAGACACACCGGTCCACCTGCTAGTCGTGCACGGCCTTAAGGGCGCCTGGACCAAGCACAACAGGGACGTGGTATTTGGCCTCTTTGACAGCTACGTCGATGCCAAGCTGCTCCGTCGCAATCTCTCAACGGAAGCCCTTAGAGGCTTCCGTGTTGACGGGCAGCCCTTGACCTCACCTGAACTACGTCCCAGGCAAGCCTTGTTTTATCTAAGGAGGGCCTAACGTGGGACTTAGGAATGCCTAGTGTTGGATTTCTTAGGAAAGCCCAATGTGAGAGAGTCATCTGGGCTGCACTTGTGTGCATTTAAAAAGACTGAAAGGCTAATTACTTCAAAGTCCTATAATTTTCTTACGTCCAAGTTATTTTCAGTAAATGCATGACACCGCATTTGTAGCTTCTAAACATTTTGTTTTTCTCGGCTGCTGTGTAATCTTTAGCTTAATTATGCATACCCCTTTTTTGTTCATATGTTGCAAAATTATCATACTGCAAAATTTCTAAGACACTTTGAATTAAAAAATGTCAGAACTTGTTTTTTTATTATTTAGAAGCACTGGAAAATGATAATAGAATGCATCACCTAAGGCTTGATTCGTTATTTTACTATGACATCTAAATGATATAAACACCACCTGCAGCATTCAACTTACTATACATTAACCCTAATGTTTAGTCATTTGCAGCTGCTACATGTTTACTAGCTCTTTGATACATCTTCATTAGAACTTCACATACCTATTTACTTTGCTTAATTTAGTGTTTTTAAAATTAGTAACTAATGTTTGAACACCACTAATATTTCTTCATTATTTTTTTTATATTGCATGCCTTTTTCTGACCTTGTACATGGCAGTGGGCTCCAGAAGACACTTCATCTGGGGCTTTGCATACCTGAATTTCTTTCTTGGCAAGCAAAGCAAAGCATTTCAACTAGAGCTGTGCAATTAGCAGTATCTGGGTGCAAAGTGAATTCAAAGATGCATTTTAAGCGTGAGTGCAAATCAAATAGAATATTTACAAACCCTATTTCTCAAATATTTTTCGAATACTTCAAACTGGAATTGCATAAAAATAACAGAGGATTCCTATGCATATTCTTATAAGATAGCAACATGAAAGAGTTTTTTTTGGCTAGGTTGATAAAGCGCTCATGGGTTTTATCGCTTCACAGCGCTGTTGTTTGATAGTTGTCTTATCAAGAATGAGGCGGTGCAGAGCCTGAATTGTATTTGTGTATATGATTTGGTGCAACCAAAGTGTTGCTGACTACACTTAACATGTGAAAGGCACAGATGTTATTTCCTCAGCCTCTCCCCCTCTTTAAATATCTGTGAACGCCCAACGGATGTGGCAGACAAGGGTGTGCCTTCTAAGAGTATGGAGTTCTGAATCTTCCTCGTAGACCTCAGTGTATAAGATTTGAAATTTTGGATGCTAAGAATATTCAGCATCCAATTTTTTGGACTTCCTGCCCATATTTCAAGTCCAAAAAAGCATTGATTAAGGGGAGATGTGATTTTAAAAAAGTTGTGGTAATCTGTAGCCTAGGACAATGACATTTTTGCTGTATATATAGGCTTCTATGCTAATTTCAAATATGTAATTATTTTATAGTAAGTTGCACAGTTTTCGTTTTGTGCCTTTGCATTGTGTAGGGTATAGCTCTTTCTGGAACAACGTTTTCGGCCACTAAATTTTTATCGTTCCAGGCCATTAATGACTCATATTGCTCTTATTTAACTGTAAAGTGCCAGTAACTGTGAGGAAAGAGCGTAAAAAAACTTACAATGGACGAAAAAATTGTAGTGTGAGAATTCTTAGAATTCTCAGCCCATACTAATTGCTTACTCTAGGTTTGTAATAATTATACAGGTGGAACCAAGTTTTGAAGGAGATACTGCACTTTTCACATGTTAAAGAATATGTAGGCAAAGTTTTATCCTGGTAGGGCTATGGGAAGTACCAAAAACATGATTTCCAAACTCAGGAAGTTGCCCGAAAATGGATCTTGAGAGAAACACATTTTAAATGTGTAAGTGAAAGGTCATTTATGCGGAAAATATATGTTTTTGAGATGATTTGTTCCATCGTGAGGGCTTGGAAATCATTGTTGTTTTGAGCATGATGTCGCTTTAGTTAACTCGTCATGCGAAATGCAATGACAAGCAGCCAGATGACAACTTCCAGGAGAATCTAGACAGTGAGCTCTTCTTAGTTTAAGTAGCCGTCTTGTGTTCTTTAAAAGCAATTTTAACCTACTATGAGTTTAATTACAATTTTCAGTTTTTTTGTACAAAATGTAGAGAAGGTAAACTTGTGAAAGCAAATAAAAGCAAAAATATAAAATTTGAAAAAAAAAAAGCTTCGTTTTTCGACTCGCATCTTTTCCACACCTATCATCACCATGTTGAAATCAGCGTTTTCACGAGTGTATACATTTACAGCCTTAGCAGAGCTTAAAGACCAGCTTTGCCGCAGTACGAGAATTCAATGGAATAAAGCATATCAAAATTTTGAAGGAGCCACTGTCAATCTGATGTTGACTGTATTTATTTTCGAGAAGTTCTAATAGTAAAATTTCAATCCAATCGAATTGAATAGCTAACACTATGTTTTGCACACTCTTGATTTTGAACCCTTACCGGGCTATTTAAAACATTATCGGTCATTTTGCAGACAACAAAATTGTCATTGTGGAACTATCAGTTAATATACCATTTTTTAGCCTTCATCTAGAAACAAGAGGACACCGTGCATTGTACAGCTGAAGTAATGCAAAGGCCTTCCGTCTCAGCCAAATCAGTTTGTTTATGCACGCTGCAGTCCCCGGCCAGCACGCAAGAGCACCTCACCGGCTGTGTCAATGCTTCAACAGCTGGAATCATCTGGGCCTAAAACAGTGTACACAGAAGACGTTGAGGGGGTCGCCGAGGAAGAACAGCTTCATGGTGTTGCTGCCTGCCAGACCGATGATGTTCTTCATAAAAATTGGTCTGTTGAACTGGTCAACAGCCAGGTGAGTGTGGACAACAATAGTCTGGTGTAACAGCGAAGCACAGTTGATGTTTTACAGGGAAGCTCTGTTAGTCTGCCCTGTGTGGTCATCTCATTTATAGTAGTAGCTGCTAGTTTTACTACTACTACTACTACTACTACTACTACTACTACTACTACTACTACTACTACTACTACTACTACTACTACTACTACTACTACTAGTGTGATGCTTGAAATGGTGCTGCTGCTGCTGCTACTACTATTGCTATATTGTAACGATGTTGTAGGACTTGGGGTGTAATAAAACGTATTTATTAAGGGCGAACCTGTGCCCACAACTCAAAGGGACTATGGTCGTAGAATGTTACAGCCGAACACCAAAGATGTCTGCCTTCTTCTACTTCTTCAAGAGAAGTCCCGAGCGCGTGGCGCACATCAGCCGGGGTCAGCTGGGTTCTCTTGCTATCATCATCGTCTCTGCGCAACAGTAGACAGCGCGCATGTATGTCCCTGTGCGCGCGGTGATGGCCGCGTTGTTTGAATGCAGGCAATATGTCGCGGCAATATGATGATAATACTTGGGATCATGCACAACCATAATTATAATGCACGTTTTTAAGGGAGCGGCCAAGTGGAATTCGCTACGACCGTACTGGAACACTACTGTAGTATTCCAGCGTGGCTGTGGATGAGTATATTGTCACCAAGATACAACAAAGAAAACCTTTGTAAAGACTTTGCTGAAACTTGAAAGCAAAATGTAATGCCTGGCAAAAAGGGCGGCAGCTTTATTGTCTGATAGCTTTCATGGCCTGGAACTGTCTGCAAATTTCTTTGTTCAATTGCCCTTTCCGTGTGCTATCAAGACTGTGTGACTCTCCTGTATGCATGCTAGTTATCCCTATTCTTTATAATGTCGAGCCACCAGAGGAGAATGAAACCTAAAAGGTCATCTTTGAGGCTTGCAACTGTCTTGCACTTCCAGGTGATGCTGCGTGGGTGTGAGACATCTGGCTACGTGATAGTCAGTGCAGCAAAGGCGGAGATCCTGCAGCGAGTGCACACGCCTGTGTGGAAAGAGAACACACTCGTCTCGAAGACCACCTGGATGGGATCTCTAGAGTGCATGCAGGTGGGTGCTCAGCTGCTCATCGTGAAACCACTCTGGGAATCTGGGATCAGGAAATGAAATGAGCTACAAAGGGTAAAATTTGTTCAGAATTCGTAGCATGCAGCTTTGCATAGTGAAGCACATAGGAGGCAGACGCATTGTGGCCAAAGGTGATTTGGCATTTAGTAGCATAGTAGAGACATGACTTAGTAAAATATGGCAGTGCTAGTATTCTAAGGCATGAGCTGCTTGTGTCTTGGACCTGCTGAATTATTATATCAGAATGCTGTTGTTTTTTGTGGCACGGCAAGACGGCCCATCTCTTCAACATTTGTGTAAAGTTTATGCGTATTGTATTGAGATTTCTTAGTTTACCAACTGAACTAGTCAGTTTTGCTGGATTAAACTTATTCGTTGTACTAAAAACTAAATATTTTGTGGCACTTTAAAGTAATATGTAATTTCCAAGATATCTAGAAATATGCAAACATTTAAATATAGCATTTGTAAATTTCTACAGAAAGTGGTATGAAGTACCAGTTTTGAAACTTGAGTAAAGGCATGTAGGATTCATAGTTTCGGATCATACTATAGCTTCTGCTATTGGGCTTTGCTGAATGCCAGGAGATGTTGCAATTTTTTAATCACTTCAGCAACATTTCTTACTGAGAACATTGTATGTTCCCTAGCAAAGAGAATATGCTCTAAACTCTCCAAAGAACATAATTTAGGGCCACAATCATGTCACACTTATATTCCAGTTCTATTCTTTTTCGTGATTTTTCAGCAGTTTGAGTGGCACTCTACCTATTTTACTTTCCTAATTAGCCAGCTGCTTGGATGATCAGTGTTGAATGATCAGCAATGAACATTACACAGTGAAGGTATCATTGTCATAGTAAATGCAGTGTCCCCGTCTGCTAGTGTCTGCGTGCTGAAATATTGTGTTTCCTGCACTTATTTTGATCAAATGACACATTTATTCAAATAAATAAATCATATAGGCAATTATAATATGGCAACGAACAATGCTTGCTCTTCTTTTGTGTTGGGTTGAAAGATAGTCCCAGAAGCTTGGTTGGGCTTCCTGTATTTGCAAGTTGCACTGTTACATACTAGTATGTCTTTAGAGCTTAGAGAAAAGGATCAACAAAGGGAGTTCATCACATAACAGGAGTGCTGGTATTGTTTGATATGAACCTTGAAGGGTCAACTTGATGGCTAGTTGGTTTAACATATCGTAGGGAAATAGCACAAAAGACCTGGACAGGAAGTGTACTACAGCTCTACATAAGGTTGTTTGTGTTGCATTTCTGTTGCATTTCCTGTATTACAAAAGGTGCATGTTGCATTACCAAATGTACAACCTATCCGTCCTATTATGTACATTATTTCCCCTTCAGTACTATGCCACGGTTGATGCCGGGGAGCGCGGTGCCTCTGATGACGGTGTAGTCTGGCTGACAGTCGACAACATAGAGGAACGCTCATGGACAGTGATTGAGGCCCCTGCCGATTTGGTGGGCAGTGGCCAGGGTGTTGGAGGGGTGGTCAGCAGCACAGTAGGTGGTGCCTCGGATCCAAACACGGCACCACTTCAACTGCAGCGAATCATCTCACGCTGTGGTTGCCAGTTTTTTTATGCCAGTTATGGAGAGAACATTGACCCAGAAGCACTGGAAGAGGTTCCACCCCTGGTAAGCCGTCTGTCGTTGGTTTCTGCATCATTAATTTCTTTTAAAAGGACACTGCAACTTATGGTCAGAAAACGCTGTTCGTCAGTAGTCGAGGTTCCTGGCAACACTTGAGCTAAACAGCACGCTGCCTGAAATTTCTCCCTTATTTCTTGACAGATTCTATCATAAACCAAAATGACATTGCCATAAACCCAAAACAGGCTACCATTGGCCGATTTGAACATCGTGAGCTCATACTGATTTGAACATCGTGAGCTCACACTTACGATGACCGCTGCAAGATGTCGCCGCATGCCTGGGCATGCGCAGTCACACTAAATGTACACCACACATTTTACAAAAAATGTGCTCAACCTCATGACGCACGCTGTCGAAAGGACGTAACTTTTTGTCTTCTTTTCATCTTCCCTGCGCATAGCTTTCAATGCACTCAATGCAGTGGCACAGCCAGGAATTGGTACATCCCCCCTAGAAAGAATTCTGATGACGCCTCTGACTCGATGGCACAAAATATGAGAGAAAGCATTAAAATCGAATGGCAAATTCCTGTAACTCTGTACATGCTTGACAAATTTTTAACATTTTTGTGGCTCTCGATTCGTGAGGCAATAAATACCTTTAATAAAGTCATTTGATCATTTCTTGGAAAAGTGCTGCTTGGACCTTATAACTGATATCATATTGTCACATGCGTCCCGCGAAAAAGACGAAGGCGACAGCGCATACGCGCATCTGCACGCTTTTATGCAGAACGCAACAACGAGAAAGATGAGGAACTCTCTCTCACGCGGTTAACAAAAAGACCGACCCGCTGCTGTTTTCTCAGCGTCTTCGAGTACGACCTCTCTCTTGACGTCGCGACACTGGTGGAGGTGCTGGGGCTTGCAACCTGATGCAAGAAAGCGTTGTTCGGGACCGTACACCCAAATCGGAATGGATTTCCTGGGCCCATTCCCAACTTCTACCACAGGGAACAGATGGATCATTGTCGCCACTGATTACTTGTCTCGCTACGCAGAAACTAAAGCCATGCCGAGGGCCACAGCAGCAGAAGCGGCTCATTTCTTCATAGAAAACGTCGTCCTTCGGCATGGTGCTCCAACAGTTCTCATCACGGATAGAGGAACTGCGTTCGTGGCAGAACTTTTGGAGTCGGTTCTCAGGCTCAGTGGTACAGCTCACCGGAGAACAACGGCGTACCACCCACAAACGAACGGACTAACAGAGCGGCTTAATAAGACCCTCGCAGACATGCTCTGCATGTATGTCGACACAGAACACAAGAACTGGGACGAAATCTTGCCTTATGTGACCTTCGCCTATAATACTGCCCGGCAGGAAACTACCGGAATGACGCCGTTTAGTTTAATACACGGGTGCGAAGTCACTACAACGTTGGACGCTATGCTGCCGCACGAGTGTGACGACACTCACGCTGACGCCGAAGAATTTGGTCAGCGTGCCGAAGAAGCCCGACAGCTAGCCCGCGTGCGTATTTGTCACCAGCAACACAAAGATGCGAAACGGTACGACCTACGACATAAATTGGTAACCTACAAACCAGGCGACAAGGTATGGGTCTGGATCCCAATACGTCGACGCGGACTTTCAGAAAAGCTATTACGACGATACTTTGGCCCATATCGAGTCACCCGACGATTGAACGACATCAACTACGAAGTTATTCCCGACGGCGATTGCAGTTCCAGTCGCCGAAACTGCTCACCCGAAATCGTGCATGTCATCCGGATGAAACCCTACTTGTCCAGCTAACTCTCGTTTGTCCTGTGCGTGCCGGTGCATATGTGCGTTTTTATAAGTAGAGTGCCTTGGCTGCGCATCGGGACGATGCCATTTTTGGAGGGAGGCAAATGTCACATGCGTCCCGCGAAAAAGACGAAGGCGACAGTGCATACGCGCATCTGCACGCTTTTATGCAGAACGCAACAACGAGAAAGATGAGGAACTCTCTCTCACGCGGTTAACAAAAAGACCGACCCGCTGCTGTTTTCTCAGCGTCTTCGAGTACGACCTCTCTCTTGACGTCGCGACAATATGCAGTGTCTGAAAGCTTGTGTGGCTTATTGAATTCGTGGGAAAGACCTCAGGGCCCTAAATTCCCCATGTTTGCATCCAACAAAGTACAGTTGTGGACCTTGGTCTGCAGGACGTGGCTGGCAATACACTACTCTTCTTCTTTTATGGACAGGGTGAAACCTTAGCTAAGCACCCTTGTTTTGCAGCACTGAATCCTTGCAGATGGAAAACATCACATTTCTCATCTCTCTGTTTTCTTGCCCATATTTGGTGTCTCCAATCTGGCTTATGATTCGGTTCTATTCATTGAGTGATTGCTCGAATCAGAGTACATCTTCACATTTTCTACACAGCCAGATGAAGAGGACGAGGAGCCATGGGGTCGGGAGCAGGCAGTCGATGCATTCACATTGACTCACCATGACCTTGAAGTGTGCAGTAATCCACTGCAGTACGCCATGGTATTGGACTTGGTGAACAACCTGCTTCTCTATGTGGAACCACGGAGAAGGGAGGCCAATGAGCGGCTGCAGCGTATGCGCTTCCGCCTGCAGCTCTCCGCGGGTGAAGACCACCGGACACCAATCTTACAACTGCAGGACCAAGTTCGGTAGGCCTCTGATTATGAAAAGCTAGCTACATTGGTTTTGTTGAAGAGCGTCTGGGGAACAGTAGACACAATGCAGGAATTAAGCACTCGAGGTGCAGTAGGAGGGCCTACACATTTCCAGCTTAAGGGCACTGCTTTGACCTTTAACTCAGCGTCATGTGAAGGTTGTGAGGTGCTGGTTGTGTTTGCAAAAGAACTGGCTACATGATGCTCAAAAACACCTGAATATCTAAAAAAAGGGGGTCTAACTTCCTCATTCTCACAGCAGCCAGTCTCGTCATCCACAGAGAGTAATGTCACAGCTTTCGACACTGCTTTCATCACCCGTATGTATCACACCAGAAGCATTGCAAACAAATTGGAGAGTCTTGTGTAGTGCAGAATACACAGAGCTGCCATTAAATGTCTGGTGTGGCCAACAAAGAGAAAAAAAAAGAGAAGGTAGTGAGAATAACTTACAACATACACGAGAACAGACAGTTCTTCATATTTGCCTTACTTCTAATAACATCACCTGTACTTCTCTTGGCATCACTGTCTGTTATATATTATTATATATCTAACAAAAGAAGCGAGCCCTCAAATTTGCACTATTTCCCTTCACAACATATGTGTCACATGTGTTCCTGCCTGTAACGTGGAAGATGGAGAGTAGAAAAAAAAGTCATTTGTGCATGCCATTTCGAAGCAGCGTGAAAGAGCCTTTGCCACAAAGTGTGCAAGTGGCTTTCTCAGATCAGTGCCTTGCAGCACTTCATTTGCTTTTATGTAGTATACTATATATACCCATGCAGATAACTCTGTGGACAGTGCTTTTTGATATGCATCTAAAGCTTCAATGGAACTTTTGATGCTGCTGTTAGATTTTTCCCACGAGGTACTTTGTTTAATTATTTTAGATCTCTGCTATCAGAGCATAAGCAACTGGAGAGGGAAGCCTATCAAGTACAAAGGAGCCTGAACGAGGACCCAGGAAGCACTGCCCTGGAAACTGAATTGGCTCATTTGGAGGATGAGGTACGTGCTGAAAGAAATTTGACATTTGCGTTGAGCCTCTGAGAGGAATCAGTAGCAGTAGCTATGGTTGTAATACTTTGGGTACTCTGGCAAACTTATTGTCGCTTTGAGCGAGCGCACTTAAGCTTCTCGAGTGTCACTTTAGCGGTGCGCTGCTACAAGAGACAAGAAAGTGTACATTGGAAGTGATGGCAATGGCTGTGTAAGTAGCAGACCAGATATTGGTTATTCCAGGCAGTGTTTTGTAAGGGATAATGTGTTATACTTATAAGCAGCTCTTAAAATAAACTTTATGTGCATACACGGTGACTGCGGCCACTGCAGGGCATGTGCTAGGCATGCCCCTAGTAGACATGGCTGTAAACTGCCTGGGTGCAAAAATATCAAAGTATAACCTGTGTGGTGTGGTACATTTCTATGCATAAGAATATTCTTAATAAACAAAAGGGTAGTTTAAAGAATGCTACGATCTCAGCTTTAAATAATGACATTTATTCTGAAGTCACTGCTGCCTAGGCTAAACACTCGGTCGCAGCAAACTGAGTTAGTCAAACGCACTCACCGATAAGTGCACCTTGCACCGAGTGTCACTAAATGTTCCCGTGCAACCGCGTGTGAATGACACAAGCAGCAAAGTGCACACCCGCACGGTGTGTTGGCCTGTTTGACAAGAGTGTTACACTTGAGGGCACTAGTCACAGTGTTGAACAGCAGTGTAATGGGATGAGAATAGTAGGAAGCATTGCTAACCAATGGTGAAATTCAGCATACCACAATGTCAATATTAGAAAAAAAGATAGTAATAATTAGCCAAGAGAAGTTGTGCCTTGACGAAGACAGGTTCTCTTGTCGGGACATCGGTCTCTGTGACATTGGCCTCCGTAAGGGGCTCGCTATTATGCGGAAGTTGTTAATGTATCTGTGACCCTACAATGTGTACTGTGTCCATGCATTCTGTCGGTGGAGCTCTTTCTAGGCCTCGCAAGGTACATAACACGAAGTGTGGTGGACTGCTTTCTTCATGTCACAGATCCGACAGTGCAAAGAACAGCTGAGCTCGTCGAGTGAGGAGTTGGCGCTCATGCTGAGCTGTTACCGGGAGACACAGGTGGCAGCACTAAAAAGCCGGCAGCGGGCGGCCGCTCCAGGACAGGAAGTCACGGTGGTGCGGCGTGCCGAGGTCTGTTTCAAGCATGCACGATGGCGCCTCACTGATGTTGATGGGCAACTAGGAATTGCTGATCTGGTGCTTTCAAACTTTCTGTGAGTATGCCTCCACTTTTTTCAGCTAAAAGTGCATATAGTGAGCTGTCTACAATGTATAGACGTATTGTTAGTCAGTTGCCACAGTTGCAAGTATCGAAATAAGCCATGCTGCACCATAACCAGCAATATTTGAATTTTCGTATAGATAGCGCATGTATACCAAGTAGCAGTTGCATATTTTTGAAAATCAAAGCATGAAATTATGATGTTTGGAGCCTCTTAAGATCGATGAGATCTTAAGAGGCTCCAAAACCACCATATGATTATGAGAGACGCCGTAGTGGAGGGCTCCGGAAATTTCGACTACCTGGGGTTCTTTAACGCGCACCCAAATCTGAGCACACGGGCCTACAACATTTCCGCCTCCATCGGAAATCCAGCCGCCGCAGCCGGGATACGAACCCGTGACCTGCGGGTCAGCAACCGAGTACCTTAGCCACTAGACCACCATGGCGGGGCGATTATATGTTTGAAATATGAGGGCTGGCTTTTACACCAAGTTTTCTCGTGAAGTGTGCAATCTATTACTAGGGGTGTGCAATTATTCAAACTTTCGAATATTTTTCTGATAGTGCTTGCTATTCAATTTGCACTGAAAATTTGACTATTAACTTCCCAAAGACAAACACAATCAACATCCAATTGACAATGGCCCCTTCAGAATTTTTCTATGCTTCACCCCATTATATTATGGCATTGCAACAAAGCTACCTTTCAAACTGCTGTGGTAGCAAATTATTGACTCGAGAACACGCTGGTTCTAACATAGAGATTCACTGTGCCATTACAATAACCTCTTCATTAATTTTTTAGTGTGCTTCACCACATTGCATCATGTTATTGCAGCAAAGCTGTGTTTAGGGTTACGCTACGACCATAAATGGATCGACTTAACAAAATTGCCGGTTCGAATCAACATGGCAGAATTAATGTAATTTCAGACCAAAAAGATAAAAAAAAATCAGATGAAGATTTTGAGCATCGGAAATTTCAGATGTTTTTACACATTGATGTCTACAGGGCAGATTAGCAACTCTGAGTTCGGAGGGAGCACACCCTTGTCCACTATATCAGTTGGGTCTCCATAGAAGTTGATGAGCGGAGAGGTGGAGGAAAAGTCTTTTCCTTTCACGTGCGTAGTGCTGTCGACGGCACATAGGTTGCGCCACATCATGTATATAAATACAATCCGGTCTCTGCATTGCCTCATCCTTCGCAAAACACCTAGAGAACACCTTCCTTCCAGCACTTCACCAACCCAGCCGAAAGAAGCTCTTCAACATTCCTATTTCATAAGAATGTGCTCAGGGATCTTGTGCAACCTTTTTTCTGTAACTTCAGTATTATTGGAAAAATACTAAAAAAATATTCAACAATTCATAAAATATTCTATTTGATTTGCACTCAAGTTTCGATATTCGAATTTGCTTTGCACTCAAAATTTCGCTATTTGCACAGCTTTAACTATTATCAAAAGGAATGCAAAAGAAGAAGATACTTTTCATATACAAAGTGGAAAGCTGATCGACGACAACACGTGTGCATTTGGTGTAGAATAACCAATGTTAAAAAATGCCAGGCCTGTGCAGTAGGCGCAGCACAGTCACAGCGAAAGCAAGAAAAGCGGCCTTTCAGAGCCTTTTCAAAACACTCATTGGGTACTACTGCAAGCACACTTGCTTGGTACTCACTAAGGCATTAATAATAAACTCTTGGGTAGTAGGCCGGCATTCGCTATGCTATTTTTCCTCATTCTTATGAGAAGAGTGGTATCCGCTAAACACTTGCAAGGAATTTTGTGCCAATTGTCCATGCAGTGGCTGACGACGAGGAGGAATTATGGCTGAAGTGGGTATGTGCCACAGTTAATAGGGGAACAAGAACAAGCTTTTGTGATGTTTAGGAGCATTGGACGGCCCAATCGTTACGCTATTCTCATTGTGCGATGACTGGTTGTTTTTTCACTGTTGTAAAACGCTTCATAAGTCGTATTAACGCGATTGCTTTCCCGACATCAAGCCTGCCTAAGACAAGTTTGACAACAAGTAACAAGCACCGGTGTAGATCAGTGGTAGAATGCTGGGCTGGCACCCGGCGGACCGGGTTCGAGGCCCACTGTGCCATTGATGCTAGGTCATGCCTGCCTAAGGCAAGTATGACAACAAGTTATAAGCAGCGGCGTAACTCAGTGGTAGAATATTGGGCGGGCGCCCAGCGGACGCGGGTTCAAGCCCCACTGTGTCATTGGTGCAAGTTCTTTTTTCTAATTTCACACGATGTGGTTACGAATGGCGGTGGCGGTGAACAACAACTGCGCGTGACCGGAAAAGTGATCTCATAACAACTTTTGCGGTAAAAGTGGGACATTAAAATCGAAGCATAGCCTTCGTTATTGAGCATTGTGCATAGCTCAACTTATGAGGCCATAAGAAAAGCTTCAGATAACTGATGAGTAACCTCTGAGCATGTGCAGCATATGACATGCTTGCACGGAGTCCTATATGCCAATTGGCTTACATACAATGTGCTTCCATCATGGCAGGCATGCTCCCTCAGATTTGAACACAATAGTGTTAAAGAGCTTGTTTCGCCAAAATTCTCACATAGGCGTCTGTGTCCTTGGTTCTGAAATCCAGATAGATGAATAGAAAATAAGTTATAAAAAGTCTGCAATGCAAGTGGAGATCAAACCCAGGCGTTCTGTGTGACAAGAAGGTGTTCTACACATGGCCACGCAATCGCTCAGAACTGTTTCATCAAAAACTAATAGTATACGAATGTGATTTAGTGTGAGGAGTCTCTTTAACAAGCGTAATATTGCGTGGCTTACCTTCGTTCACAATTTCACTATGCTTCAAAACATAAGAATTGCACAATGCGTAGATAGTTTAAAACCCTACCCATGATAAAACGCTCGGTCATAACTAATCATGACTAGCAGCAACAGCATCAAAAAAGTGGGCAGATGGGCACGTGTGCCTGTTACCTTGCAGACGCATAGTGGGTACGTAGCAACTGGCAAAGGGAAGAATTATGGCACAGTGGACAGTTTGCTGATACATTTGCAATAAGGATTCTAGAATCATTTGAAGGGGCCCGTGTTACATGCACAGAAGTCCATTTCCTTGCAGCACTGTCAAGGTGTTTCCTGATAAGCGAAGTCAGAGTAGCGCCCCACCGCGATGGTTTAGTGGCTAAGGTACTCAGCTGCTGACCCGCAGGTTGCGGGATCGAATCCCGGCTGCGGTAGCAGCAATTTCGATGGAGGCGAAAACACTGTAGGCCCGTATGCTCAGATTTGGATGCACAATTAAAGAACCCCTGGTGGTCCAAACATCCAGAGACCTCCACTACGGCGTCTCTCATAATCATATGGTGGTTTTGGGATGTTAAATTTCACATATCTATTGAAGTCATACAGTGATTTTGAAGGCAATGCAAACTACCGTATTTACTAGCGTAATGAATGCACTTTTTTTTTCGAAAAATCGGAGCAAAGTTGGGGGTGCGTTTATTATGCGGGGCAAACTTTCTGATTACTTTTCTGAGATAAGCAAAAAATGTGGTAACGCAAAAAAAAAGAAAAAGTTGGGTCGCTTAGCCTTTTGCAATTGACATACACGAACACTGTTTTGACACAGCTTCTTTGTTGCGCTTCACTCATCTTCGGTGGTCGATGGCAGCTATCTTCTGTAAGCTGTCCCCGTGCCACCCGCGGATGCCATAAAAACGTTTTGTGACTATCTTTTCTCGCAAGCATTTAACCACAACAGTGGTATCTGCTGTGATCTCGAAGGGCGCCCAGAAGCATGCGCTACGACGCTACTACACACTTATCCAACTTCGCAGCAACCTCGCACGACGACTGGGACGATGCTGTTGAAATTGTAGCAAGTAACCAACATTGCAGCAAGCTACCCCCGAAGCATCAAAACAAACCATCGATCACAAGATTAACGACAAAATTCAGTTGCCGCCTCGCTTCCACATGAGAAATTCCTGTACGTGCAAAGAACAGGCGAAGCGAGTATCGGGGGGTGCTACCATGTTGTGGAAATCGTCACGATTTTTTCTGAGTGACAAGCGATTTTTTTCTGGTTTTCCAAAAACCTGCGACGGGATAGCGACATAGCCTTTTGGGACAGCAAATACTGTCATCGTTGAAAATCGAGTGCACGTCGTTGGGTCTTAAAGTTTCGTATTTGCAGGAAGTGACCCTCGGTTGGCGCGGGCAGTTTTGTGACCTTCGCTCACTGTGTGCTTATCAGTTGCGATGTCTCTACACTCGCACCATTCGTAAACCCCGCTGTGGCACACAGATAAAAAAATATGGGGGACGTGCTGTGCACAGTGTTGCGAATGACGGACCGATCCCGCCGCTGCCACCACTGTTGCGAACGACGGACCGATCCCGCCGAAGCCACCACTGTTGCGAAAGACGGGGACGCCAACACGGCCCCGAAGGCGCCACTGCTTTCAACTCCGCCGGGAAGGTCACCAGCCGTTTGGTAGCGTATGTTTCTCAGCCCGCGACTGCTTCTGCGCAGAGCTGATAAGACGAGCGGACGAGACGACGGTGAGTTAAACAAGGTTTATGTACAGCATATTTACAGAGGCGTTACAATTTCGGCACTGGGGCCGACAGAGACTCGAAGAGCCGAGCTCTCCTCTCTAACACATAGGTCAACTTTTCGCCTAAGACCGCCGACTCACACACATGTCGGCTCTCCGACATGGGGACTCCTCTCTCATAGGACTGCCGATCGCGACGCGCCGCAGGGCTTCTTTTATTTACACCGGGTCCAACCAAAATGTCCAATCAGAAGCGCCGCTGGTCGTCAGGGCAGATTCCCCCAATGGGGTTGCCGCGCCATGCGTCAGACCACCAGACACGAGGACGCCGGCTCGCTGTCACGTGCGCAGCTGACTCACTGCACGTGGGCCAGAGGGGCGCCGCGCGTGTTCACGCCGTCGAGTTGATCGCGCCAGGCGGACTG